ATATTATGTTTATCATCCCCATGAGCTTCATCCCAAATAATTAGAGAGACATTGTTAATCTACTATGCAAACTCGCTTTCTTATTTAATATGACATGTCGATTATGAATCATAGCCTATTAGAATATAAGAAAATGGAGAATGAGTTGTTTGACCTCCAACCATTAGCTAAACTCCAACACTGAAAGAAACAATGCACAACTCTATTTTTCTTTTATGCCTTAGTCCAAACAAATAACCTTTCAAATAAATATTTTTCATATACCGTGCAAGCCATCAAGTAAAATGTAGTTTCCATTTTCATATACAATTTTAACAACAATAATAATTGTTCGAATGAAGATGGACTTTTTTTGGGTAGCCACTCCATGATCTATGTCCAAAATTCATTAGTTGAATTCTTCAATCTCATATTTTGAGAGAGTTGCAAAACTTTGAATGTGAACCACAAAATACAACCTCGCGATAAAAGAATTTACAATATATATCCAAGTTTCTTTAGTAATTACTGTTAGTGTTTGTCGAAAATCTCCAGCAAACACAACAAAAATTTCTCCAAAGATCATGTACTCGCTATTTTAATTTTCACATTAAAAAATGTCTCTGAGATATTATGTTTATTGACCACAGGAACTTCATCCCAAATAATAGGACAGGCATTTTGAATTCACCATGCTAACTCGCTTTTTTTTTAATATGGCATGTCGATTTTGAATCACAATCTATTGGAATATAAAATCGAGAATAAGTTGCTTGACCTCCAACTATTAGCAAAACTACAATACTGAAAAAAGCAATGCACAACTTTACTTTCTGAGCACAACTAATGTAATTTTTTAACTTTTAGATGGTTTGGTTTCATGCACCGCAACCCCAATCCAAATTATTAACCAATTAGATAGTTAGCCCTACATATAATATATTATATACGACATATATTATACGCTGCATAATCACTCAAGAGTTAAACATGTTTTCCTATTTAGACCCATAAAAGTGAAAAACACATTCATATGCTATACTTGTAGAGTGTAGACAAAAACATATGTACGAGATCTTAATTTATATAAATCTCATATATTATGTTTGAAGCCTATGAAACTGATAAGGCTCTAAGTAATTCACAGAGACATACCCAATTGATTACCTCATACTATTTATATATATTATGGTAGGTGGCTACTTCTAATGATTGCATTATAATTGCATTCGTTATGTTTATTTATTTAAAAGGGTAATTATGAGTTGATTGTTGTGTTTTATTCGTTATATATATATATTATGGATTATGCATTAATAAGATTTTTTTCTCACACAAAGATTATGTTATATGTTATATTGACTTATCTGATTAATGAACTAATCAAACAAATTAAATTTTAGTTTGGTTAATTTGATTGGTTTGATGAAGATGCAGTACTTCACGGTTACTTGATTTCATAGTTATCATGATATGATAACCATTTGAGCAACCCCTAGTATGAATGTTGATAATTTCCGCATATACATGCTTTTGACTTATATAAAGAGCATGTTTTCTTGTTCGTAATTTTATGAATGGTTGATCAGTTCTCTTCAAATTAGATTTGTGTAAATAAATTTATGAAAATGTACGATGGATAGCAGTGATTTGTAACATCGAGTAGTGTGACATAGTTGGAGAGTTTACAAAAAACTAATAGTTATAATCAATGTGCATACCATGAGCCAACTTATTTTGCACTTCATATGGAGAATGATAAAAATCAACTACATCTTCTGGTGATATAAAAGTTATTCATTTCATTGTGCATATCTGTACAGAAATCGGTAAAATATGAAATCTTAGCACCCAACATAGAATTTGATAAACTATAAGTAATAATAATATTATTAATAATATTAATAATAAATCAATAGATTACCGGTTGGAATGTTGACAACTTATCCATACATACCCTTTTGCCTTGTATAAAGAACATATATTTCTTGCTAATTTAGGTATTTATTGCGAATGCTAATTATTTAGTTAATGATTGATCAATTCTCTTCAATTCTGACGTATGTGCATCTGTTTATGAAAATATCAAATGGAGAGCAATATTTTTGTAAGATCAAGCAATGTGCAATAGTTAGAGGGATTATAAATAATTGATAGCTCATCGATGTTCATAAAATCAAAAAAATTATTTTGTGTTTTTAGAAAAAAACGGATAAGAACCAACCACACTTTTAAATGACATAAAAACGCTTCTCTTTTGCCCTTAATTGCATGTGACATGAGTAAACATTAAATTGTAAGATTTATATATTTTTGCTAATACAATTATTTGTACTTATATTTAATTTTTTAGCGATCTAATTGAATCCTTATGTAATTGTTTAGGGCAGTACTTCACGGTTACTTGATTTCATAGTTATCATGATATGATAACCATTTGAGCAACCCCTAGTATGAATGTTGATAATTTCCGCATATACATGCTTTTGACTTATATAAAGAGCATGTTTTCTTGTTCGTAATTTTATGAATGAATGGTTGATCAGTTCTCTTCAAATTAGATTTGTGTAAATAAATTTATGAAAATGTACGATGGATAGCAGTGATTTGTAACATCGAGTAGTGTGACATAGTTGGAGAGTTTACAAAAAACTAATAGTTATAATCAATGTGCATACCATGAGCCAACTTATTTTGCACTTCATATGGAGAATGATAAGAATCAACTACATCTTCTGGTGATATAAAAGTTATTCATTTCATTGTGCATATCTATACAGAAATCGGTAAAATATGAAATCTTAGCACCCAACATAGAATTTGATAAACTATAAGTAATAATAATATTATTAATAATATTAATAATAAATCAATAGATTACCGGTTGGAATGTTGACAACTTATCCATACATACCCTTTTTCCTTGTATAAAGAACATATATTTCTTGCTAATTTAGGTATTTATTGCGAATGCTAATTATTTAGTTAATGATTGATCAATTCTCTTAATTCTGACGTATGTGCATCTGTTTATGAAAATATCAAATGGAGAGCAATATTTTTGTAAGATCAAGCAATGTGCAATAGTTAGAGGGATTATAAATAATTGATAGCTCATCGATGTTCATAAAATCAAAAAAATTATTTTGTGTTTTTAGAAAAAAACGGATAAGAACCAACCACACTTTTAAATGACATAAAAACGCTTCTCTTTTGCCCTTAATTGCATGTGACATGAGTAAACATTAAATTGTAAGATTTATATATTTTTGCTAATACAATTATTTGTACTTATATTTAATTTTTTAGCGATCTAATTGAATCCTTATGTAATTGTTTAGATAATTATCTATGGGGAATATTTCTTCAAGTAAAAAAAACTACAAAATAAAAAGGTAAATACTTTTTTTTTATTACCCAGGAATCTCAGCCCCACGTGCCACTTTGTGACAGCGGGTCCTACTAAACCTGTGGGCCACGTGCAATCAAATTCGACGCCAACGGGGCTTCGCCCCCACCAGCCTTATACCTCCGGGAACACCAACGGGCCTCGCTTGTATTCGAACTTGGGATCTCCAACTCCCAAACCTTCACTGTCACGACAGGTTTACTGTTAGACTATCTTACCTTTTGTAAATAAATACTAATTATTGGCCAAACCTTTCTATTTAGTAACCTTAATTTCTTCGTAAAAAAACTTAATCTCAATAATAATTTTAATAATTTCCTGATTAATTATTCCAAGCCCATAATACAATAAAATTGATGGGGGGATGAAACTTGAAAGAATGTGGCCGGTACACGTTGCAGAGAATCGCCATTAATTTCATTTTCAGGGAAAACTAGTCTGATACATCATATATATATAAAATTAATAATTGGATGTTAGTTACATATACGGGTCCATTGATTCCACAGAGGAAGTGCCCCATTTGTAGTCCATGCATCGTCAAGTATTTATTCCAAGAAGCCCACCCGAAATTTGAAAGTAAATTACCATGGAGTCCTTCCGTTCTCTGCGCACGGCCAGAGAAAAGGAAATTGGACAGGTGATGATGGAGAACGTCTATATAATTGTTGTTTGATAAAGCGGTTAGAATATACAGTATTGATGCTCAATGGATAGCAGATAGCTTACCTGGCAGTCCGGAAGTTGCTAATTGTCGCCCTAAATTTTTTGTAATCGCCCTAATTACTGTTTACAAATACCCTTTTGCCCTTTTCTTTTTTATTATAAAACTTATTATATTTTAACAAACAAATAACACCCGCCTATTATTAAACCTAATTAACAAATTGACCTAAAATCTAAGCTGCCACAAGAATCCTTTTTCCCTCCACAAACCACTGCAGCATGAACTCATCTCCGTCATCATAGTTTCCGTTGCCTCCAGTCACCCACCACAACTCTAGTTGTCTCCCTCACAAACCCAGCAACTTTGTCATCAAATTACAGAGTGCTCAAACGACAATTGAATTAAAGAGAATAGGCCAACAGGAGAGGTTCGTGATTCTCTATGGTGTTTTGGTGAATGAAGTTTGTCAATTGGATGTGTGTGCCGTGAATATCACTCTCTATTCACCTCTGGGAACGATGGCGAGTTCCACATCAAGGCCACATTTCACCTCCCTCGTTGGATAAACCAGAGACCAGCGAGAATCTCGTATTTATCCCCCATGGCTATTTCCGAATCATCTCCAAGATGCCTCCCCAACCCAAGTTTGTCCTGAATTTTGAAGCCCCTGAAGGAACCAATTCAGTTAAGGGGTCCGGTCGGTGGCGCAGCGCGCATGTGTTGGTGCAGGAGCCCTGTTTAATTTCCTTGGTGGGGTGCGGAGAGTAAGCCGGCGAAGAGTTGAATTTGAATTGATTTATAAAGGGTAATTCAGTAATAATATTTTTTAAGTTAGGGCGATAATAGTAAGTTAGGGCGACGTTTAGCCATCCAGAAATCAAAAGGGATAAATAAAACAGACGACATGAAAGCCGCTTGGCTCGGAAAAAAGTGCGAGCGCCAAAAGTTAAAAAAAAAAAAAAACCATGGCTACTCTGTTTAAGTGCCACAAACCCCTCTGCTCCTCTATCCGATTCGCCTCCTCGTTCCCCTGCTCACCGTTCCGTTATGCCCCCAACCGCACTCGTCCTCCTCGGACCATTCCGGTCGCCGGAAAGAGAAGACAAATTTTCCCCTTCTTCAGCTCCCTCACTTCATCCCTTCCGGTACCCAGCGATTACAACTCCGGTCCAACCAGCGCACCGAGTCCCCCATCGGAGCTGTGGCTGCACAACACGATGACGAAGAAGAAAGAGCTTTTCAAATCGAAATTGGAAAGTAAAGTTGGAATGTACGTCTGCGGCGTCACCGCCTACGATCTCAGCCATATCGGCCATGCCCGAGTTTATGTCACCTTCGATGTGCTCTACAGGTCGTCCTTTTTTCACTATCTCCGGTCAATTGTGTGTTCTTTATGAATTCCGAAGCTGGTGATTCATTAGGTCTTTGGCTTTGTGGTTGGGAATTAGGCAGATATCTGAGGCATTTGGGATATGATGTCTCCTACGTTCGGAATTTCACGGATGTTGATGATAAGGTGAGTTTACTGGAACTTCGATCCTGAGACCAAAGTTTGCTAAGCAGTGAAAAACGTATAAGTTGGCCGGCTACTGAATTTGATTTTAAAACTATGTAGATAATTGCACGAGCGAATGAAGTGGGGGAGGATCCAATCAGTTTGAGTAGAAGATACTGTAACGAATTCCACCAGGATATGGTTTCTCTTCATTGCCTGCCTCCTGCTGTTGAGCCCCGTGTGTCAGATCACATGCCTCAAATTGTTGACATGATCAATAAGGTACTTCAGCAGTGAATTTTCAGTAAGAGGGGTCCTTTGTATGTTAATCAATTGTGTACCACCATTTATAAGCAATGGTATAAGCTTCAATTGCTTGTTCTTTATGCATTTGAAGTGTAACCATCTCCGCACGCTCACATTTCCAAGTGAAATTTGTCTTTCATAAAGACATGTACTTTACTTACTGTAGTTAGATAACTTCCCTTCAAACCGCGTGGTCCTTTTTCTATCAGTTACATATCATCTGCAAGTGTTTTCATGTATAGTAACCATTTCTTGACTTGTTATCTTATCAGATTCTTGATAATGGCTGTGCGTACAGAATTGATGGAGACGTCTACTTCTCTGTGGATAACTTCCCACAGTATGGACGTTTATCTGGAAGAAAATTAGAAGATAACCGAGCAGGTGAGAGAGTAGCTGTTGACGCAAGAAAAAGGAATCCTGCTGATTTTGCTTTGTGGAAGGTAACAGTTGTCTTCTATGCATGTTACTTTGCACTAATCCCTTGTCCTGATATTGACAGGATGTTATTTAGATGTGCCTTTCTAAGTTTCTCTTGTAAGAGATCTTGCTGGGCTCTTATTGATTCAAATGTGTGCGCCAACAATGTTTTTTTTTTTTTTTTTTTTGCAATGCTCGTTGTTTGTGCAGCATTCCTTAGTTGATGGGTAGTCTAATCTTCTAAGTTTAGTAATTTGCAGAAGATAATATATCTATGCTTTCCCTCATAATTGGTTTTCTCAATCTATATTTTGCTGCATTATGCTCTTTTGACATTCTCAGTCCGCAAAGGAGGGTGAGCCGTCTTGGCAGAGTCCTTGGGGGCCTGGAAGACCTGGATGGCATATTGAGTGCAGTACCATGAGTGCTGCTTATCTGGGTCATTCCTTCGACATACATGGTGGAGGAATGGATCTTGTGTTTCCGCATCATGAAAATGAGATAGCTCAGAGTTGTGCTGCTTGTGGAGATAGTAATATAAGCTATTGGGTGCACAATGGGTTCGTCACAGTAGATTCAGAGAAAATGTCAAAATCTTTAGGAAATTTTTTCACTATTAGGCAGGTAGAGAATTTCCTTTTAAATGATTTGAACTTTTGGCCCCTAATGAACTTGCAATTATAGTGATTTTGAATAATCACACTGCTAATGCTTAAGAGTATCTTTTTTTGTTTCCCAGGTTATAGATCTATACCATCCCTTAGCAGTGAGGCTTTTCTTGTTGGGCACCCACTACAGATCTCCAATAAATTATTCCGATGCACTTCTTGAGAGTGCTTCTGATCGTATCTTTTACATTTATCAGGTGCTTGAACATGCAACTTTCTTTCTCTATTATATCCGTTATGTCCTGGATTTGTGCCCTGGATTCAAGCGCTATGTGGTTCCATGGCTGCGATGTTGATAATGACCCTTTGCTCAGTTTGATTCGGGAATTTTGTTTCTATTTAGTCCATGTTATTGATTGGATATAAGAGAACCATGTTTCTAAATGTTACTTTAATTTGACTTGGGTTGTTCATTTGGTTGCAGACATTATATGATTGTGAGAACGTAATCAGAGAGCAAGGTGCAGGTTCCAAGGACAGTGCGATTCCTCCTGATACAATGAATTGCATAGTGAAATTCAATGATGTGTTTGCTGCCTCAATGGCTGATGATCTCCATACCCCTGTTGTTTTAGCTGCCATATCTGACCCATTGAAAATCATCAACGATATGCTGCACACGCGTAAGGTAATTGAGTCTGGACTGTGCCACAAACATCTCAGCCTACTTGGATGTGACTTTGTTTTTCGGGAGATCAGTTCTGCAGAATTGTCCTGACTTTGTCACTTTGTAAACAGAAAAATATTTGTTTGTCCCGCGACTTTGGCCTCTATGTCCCAAGCATGAGTAAAAGTTAAAATCCAGGACAGCATGTTATGCTGTCAACCTCTCTGTTGATTGTAACATTATTTTAATTGATAAACTCAGGGAAAGAAGCTAGCAAAGAGAATAGAATCACTCTCCGGACTAGGGAATATAGTCCAGAAAGTTCTAACCATCCTGGGGCTGATGCCGACAACTTATTCAGAGGTAAGCCTACCATCTTGGCATTAGCGAGGCTGCTCTCGTAACCGGTTTCCATTACTAATTAACGTGAATCGTGGAGTTCGCTTGTTCTGTGTATATATCCCATGGATCTTCTTAATTTCACTTTGGAATGTTTCCTTTTATTTCTATTTTCTGGCCTTTAATTATGTCTTCTCAACCACATGGCTTCCTGAAACGTTTTGGGTCTAGGCTTTCTGCACTAAGAAACCTCTCTCTTTTACTGCAAACTGTTTCTAATGCAGGTTCTTCAGCAGTTAAAGGAAAAGGCATTGAAGCGTGCCAAGTTAACAGAAGACCAGGTTATTCAAAAGATCCATGAAAGGACCGAAGCAAGAGAGAACAAAGACTATGAAAAGTCAGATGCCATCAGAAAAGAGTTATCTATGGTTGGAATTGCTCTTATGGATAATCCGGATGGCACTACCTGGAGACCAGCTGTCCCTCTCGACTTGCAACAGCTGGAAGTTGGCACACCTTGATGTTTCCTTCTCAGCATTGAACTCTTTAAGATTAACTGTGCGTCTTGGTGATTTCTTCTAGGTATTCTCTCTCTAAGTTATGCATATTCTTTTTTTATTATCTTCAGTATAAGACTTGTGAAGGTTCTTCCAGGCTTTAAATTGGCATTTTCAGGAAGAGATGCAACTGTTAGACTGAACAGTTTTCATTCTTATTCAACTGTTAGACATACAGGCTGGAACGGTTACATTGGCAATGTGAGCAAACACAATAGAGAATGGAGCAATGGTTATTGGGTCTGAAAGTCTAGCCTCAACCGGTTCGATAGAAGGTATAGATCCAGATGTATTATTCACAGCAAGTACTTTCCCATTCAAAAGTACTGTCTGACTGTGTAAATCACCACCACCAGCGGTCAAGTGATATTCTTCCCTTACATGTGCATTAACTTTGGAACCTTTTGCCATCCTAGCGAATTCTGATCTTCGATTCTGGTGGTGTTGCCGAGCTGTCTGAATAGTGATGGCATTTTCAGTTGAAACATGCACATTAGCTATCGTGTTACCGTCGAGGTTGATCAAAAGTATTGTGATTCCTTGCTGCATTCATGAATTTTCCAGTAGCAATTAGTCAGCTTGATATTCACCAATGTGATTCCTTGCTACATTTAGTTTCAGGGTCTTCACTTACAGATTTCTTTGAACAGTGAGCATAAGCACGTATTTTCTTGGTTCCAGAGAAACTAGTGGATAGCACCTTTGTTCCCATCAAACGATGCCACAGCAGTGCACTTAACCAGCAGAGATGAGAAGAAAAGTCTTAGACTGCTGCATGAAGAAAAAAAAGCTGGGTACTATATTTCCTATTGCATGGTTTCAGGAATCGCTCTCACCTGTAGTAATCTGGGTTTGGAACAAAGGTGGTAGGGTTGAGCAGGCCATAATTCCCTCCGACCAGCGACTGCCGACAGTAAGTTTTCGTGTTGTAGGATGACGCCATTCCAAGCTGATCCAGGTACCTGTCGTTACAACATCAATATTTCAGAGATCCGATAGTGTGAAGATGAAGTAAACTCCTCGCAACTCGAATGCAGGCTTAGTACCAGAAACTGAACACGAATGCATTCGTGACTAGATTATGGCCGCTGTTGTAAGCACCACCGGCCTCACCAACCCAAGCGACAGCTGAACTCCCGCTGCTCTTCAAAATCCCTTGCAGTCCACTGAAAGGCGATGAGCCACCGTCAAGATACGATGAATCCAGAATCCTGTCTATCAAGTGAGTATCATCACCTGATTTCCAGAGTGAACTCTTAGGAAAATATTGTTTCCAGAGTAAGATCAACGAAATGACTAGGCTCAGGGATGGTCAGCTCTTTTTCTCTTTTCTACAATACCTGGTCCTAGGTTATAAATATGATGAGTGACAACCTGAAGGGAGTTTTTAGGTGTTTTGTTTATGAACTCTGTGAGCCAGTTCGCGTCGTAGAACCCTCCAGGCGCCAAAACTAGTGGCTTCTTCTTCCTCTTCCCCAAACTTGCATAAGTTTTCCTCACGATGTCGTGCAGATTGGTTATATCAGACGCGTACTGGTCTGGAGCCACACTCGTTCCAATTCCGCTCCCACTCAGCTCATTCCCGAGCTCCCACCCGAAAATGGTGAAGTTTTTATTCACGGTGTATCTTATCAGGGCCTCCGCATTGCTCGAGTTCCAAGCTCCTTTTGCAGAACCGTCAGAAGCTATTGTCCTGCCATTCAGCGCATTTAACCCGAATATAACTTCTGCCCTGCATGCCCAAAATGCAGCACCAAAGTTGAATGATACGATCGAGTCTCGAAATGATTTCGTCGATATTGTTATCTTGAAAAAAAGCATGTATATGGTAGGTACTCTACTGTACCCAGCTTCCCTGAAGAAAGTGTTGAGTTCGTCCCATCTTGACAAGGGCAAGCAGCCCTGGGAGAAGCCAAACATTTCTGAGGAGCTCTTGATGAATGAAGCAGTGCAAGCCTGTTGTTGAGTCTCGTATATTACCTTATTTTGTAGGGTACCCCCCAGTCTAATCTTCAGAGGAGAGAAAGCTGCAAATATTGAACCAAAACCAAAGCAAATGAATTTAAAAAGAATCAAGGGACAGCCTTTCATGTCCTGTTCTTCACCCTGCAAGTTATTCCTTCTGTACCTTTGATGGCATTGAGCAATAGAGGGTCGGTAAGATCCTGCAGATAGTTGAGATAAGGAGGACATTGTCAAATATATGAATGATTAATGAAAACCTACTAGCTGTACTTCCATGTAGTTGACTAAGGACAATCAATTTGTTGTTCCGTTTTCAGGCCCAAATAAGTATATGTATGATTAGCCAACTCTTAACAGTTATCAGTCCTGGTTAGGGATGGCAACTTTGCACATACCCATGGATTTCTTACTATGGGTTGGATATGAAATCCAAATAGATGGATATGGGTAGAGTTTGATGGGTTTGTACCCATACCCATTCACTTTGGGTTGAGTTGGGTTTGTATCAAATGGATTTGGGTTTGTACCCATGCCCAAATACAAATTATAGTTTGGTACACAAACTTAATAGATATACATATTTACGTTTTGGTACCTAAATTTTTATGGTCTTACATTTTGGTACCTAAACTTTTCAAGTTTTACAAATAGGTCCAATTTTTGTATGTGTAGTTAAAACACCCTCAAGTAAATGGATATTCATATCCAACCCATACTCATTTAGATTTTGGAAGCAATATTCATACTTTACCCAAACCTATCTATAAACTCCCAAATCCATATGCACTTCACCCATACCCAACCCATTATCAATGGGTCTACTTGGGTTTGGGTGTAATTACCCATGGGTGGGTAATTTGCCATCCCTAGTCCTGGCACCATTGATAATTTTTGAAGGTGACACATCTCACTACGGGCTGATATGGTTCGATCGCATATAAACTACAAATATTATTGCATCTATCTCGGACAACTCAAATCCTTCTTTTTTTATTAGTCTTTTTCATATTCTTACATTCGGGTAAGAACGAGATGACACTATTAAATTGCATAGTCTATATTATTAAATTTTGGATGTATGCACATGTTGACATTATTTACAAACATGTCGATCCATGGATGTATGCACATATTGACATTATTTACAAACATGTCGATCCAAAATGTTAGTCTACGCTTACGCCTGTGCATTCAGCATATCAATCGGATTATAAAAAGCTTAAGAAGCAAGCTAACTTACACTACATGAGTCGTATTATCTTAATGTGTTAAGTACAAACACGTCTTTATATCTTATCAACCAACATATTTTAGATCAAACAAGATTATGCTATATGTGCAGTAAGCAAAACCGCAACAATCGCGAAAGAGAAGGGAGTTTGTAGAAACCGACCAGGTTAAGAAGAGAAGTTGTTCCCCAGCTACAAGTTCCATAGTCACATTTCTCAGGAGGCCACCAGTCGAGAGTTGCACATATGAAGTCTGCATCTGTCCTCCCGATTCTCGAGCTTCCATTGATGAACACCGTCCCTTCAACAATCCTTGGTCTGCTCTGCAAAGCAACGAAGAAGATCGAGAAGGGCACTAAACTCAGCATCAGGCAGAGCCAGGAGTATATCAGCAAGCTGTTCATCATTGAAGATGAACCAGTACCACCCATTTCATGATCCGGAAAGTACTGTTGACTGGGATTTCTATGGCTTGCTCTTTGGCACCGTGGGTTGTTATATAAACTATGTAAGCTTCATTTGTTGGACGAATGGTTGAGGTCACTGTCTAATTGGGATAGAACTTATTATCATTATGCAGACGGGAATCATTTGACTAAAATATCTCAGTGGCCATATTTTTCCAGTAATGCGACAACTGTTTCTTTGCAAGTTGAGAAGAAAGATAATGATATAGGGGGACAAGTAAGGCAGACAAGCAACTAAGAAGTAAGAACAGAGTAGTGAGATTATACCCAACAGGGTTGCGAGCAAATAAATAGGAAATCCCGATAATATCATACGATAAGTCAGTAAGCTAACTGCTAATAGTAGATTGGGATAACAAAGAAGATGAAACTGATGACATCGAACCATGTTCTGTTTTATTAAACCTGTTTATACGAACCATTTATTTTCGCAACAAGTGAAAGGTAGATGACAAAGCAATGACGTTCAATTCGGCATCAAGTCGTCTTCACAATTTACTATATAGCGTCAAGTATCAGTTTTTTAATCTTCAATTTTACTAATTTCGTTTGTTACCATTGTAAACCGTATATTGCAAACTTATTATTTTTTTCTTTTTTATAATAATGATTGAATATTACAAACTAATTGTGACTCGTGATATATGTCAGGTCAAGAACCCTTTTACGAGTTCCTTTCCATATCAATCTTGAATTTCATATGTAACTCTAAAAGTTAAAGATTATTTGTTGCAAATTTAACTTCGCACTGCTTTGATTATTCAATCGCTTAGTCGGTTAGTTCCATTAACACTTGCAAATCCTACCATTGATTTATCGTCCTATGAATTGTCTTTTCCAAACCACCGATCACACTTCGAATGTTACTATTGAAAACAAAACAGAGAAGCAGACAAATCATTATCCTTATTAATTATTATGAATTAATATATATAAAGTTGAACACCGGCTACTGTTCACTAAGCTTAAGCTAGGTATCATTATGACAACTTATTATATATTATTGGGCCCATTAATTCATTCTTTAATGGACCTCTTTATTTGAGATTGATTTTAATTTTTAACAATACTAGGAACGACCCAATTAGATGGTAAAAATGGACTGAATTGGTAATGCTTTTTTTAATAGATATAAAAGTAAAGATGAATTCTATAGTATATTGGGTAAAATTTAGAGTATGATATGTCCTGAGTAAAAAAAGTAGAAAACGCTATATGGACCTTGAATTAACCTGATTTTGGATATGATACTATAACCTAACACTTGATGAGTGAACCCTAGGTTTTAGTTATCTAAATCATAGAGTCTAACCTCTAAGATTTAAGATATAATTTGTTGCATATATTTCAACGAATCATAACTGTTGATTTTTCTTTCTAATTAAATTGATCTTATTGTATGAGATTTATAGAAGACCTAGACTTTAATCTTTAAAGGTATGAGAATAACATCAGATGCCAAACTCTGATCAATTTAAAGTCTTGACATCATTTTTTACTCAAGGTATGTCTTATTAACCAAGGTATGATAGAATCACCCACAAAAGTAAATACAAGTTACTGTTTCATAAGACTTGAGATGTTCCTATTTTATTTTTGTACTCGAGCTTTTTTTTAGTTCGGCTTAAGGCAGAATTTGGGCCTTCTGGACCCTGGGTTCCGGGGGGACCAATTTACTTGGACTAATAAACGAATGGGGGCGGCCTGTGTTTGAGAGCGACTCGATAGAGCCCTCTGTTCGCAATCTTGGCTTGACCGCTTCCCTGATACCTTGCTCAAGCATTTTACAGATCAGGGATCGGATCACCGGGCGCTCCTCCTATCTGATAAGCCATATATTCGGAATAGTCGCCCCCTATTCCGTTTTGATGCTCGTTGGGCGGATAACCCTGAAGTAAAGGCCATGGTTGCCTATGTTTGGCAGGAAGATATCCAAGGCACCCCGATGTTTTGCCTTTGGGAGCGGCTTAAGAAATTGCGTCATTTATTGTATGATTGGAGCAGAGCAGGAACCACCAATTCCCTGCGGAATATCAGGACCCTTCAAGGAGAAATTGAGCGGCTTAAGCTCACTCATCCAATTGATTGGGATGCGGTTCGGGGTCTGGAAGCTGAATTATCAAGACAATGGGATGCGGAGGAAGCTTACTGGCAGTAAAAGTCTAGAGTTCACTGGTTGAAAAAGGGCGATAAAAACACTTCATATTTCCATACAGTGACTAGGGCGCGTCGTAAACGAAACTTTGTTTCGGGTTTAAGAGATGAGAATGGTGATTGGATTACTGATGAGAAAGGTAAAGCGGATATTGCTACCAGTTTCTATGACCACCTGTTCACTTCGGAAAATCAAGTTCATAATATGGGGGAACATGTTGCTGCTTTGCCTATCGCCCGTAGTGTAACTCCGGAAATGAATGCTGGCCTGACAGCTGCTGTCCTCCCGGAGGAGGTGCGTAAAAATGTCTTCACGATGGGAGCTAAACAGGCTCCCGGGTCTGATGGGTTCACGGGGAAATTTTTTAAGGCCTTTTGGGGTATTGTGGGTGAGTCAGTGATTGACACAGTTTGCTCTTTTTTTACGACTGGTAGGATGCTCCGTAGCTTCAATCACAAGTGGCTCACGTTGATTCCGAAGGTGGATAATGTTGAATCCATGCGACAGTTGCGCCCAATCAGTTTATGCCAATTTGTGTATAAAATCATAACTAAGATCATGGCTGAACGATTGTCGGGTCTCTTGCCTAATATTGTCACTTCTGGCCAAAATGCTTTCATTCGGGATCGCCAAATTGTTGAGAATATCCTCCTTGGGCATGAATTAATGCATTACTTGAAAACTAAGAGGCAAGGTAAGAAGGGATACATGGCTCTTAAGGTTGACATGGAAAAGGCCTATGATAGAGTCGAATGGCCGTTTCTGCTTGCTATTTTGGACAAGATGGGTTTTAACTCAGTTTGGCAAGGGTGGATACATGAATGCCTCCGGTTGTCATCTTTCTCTGTGCTGATGAATGGTACACCATCTGGGTTCTTTAGACCATCGCGGGGCTTGCGGCAAGGGGATCCCCTGTCCCCTCTTCTTTTTGTGCTCTGCACTGAGGGGTTTGCGGCTCTCTTGCGTAAGGCGATTGAGGAAAAGAAACTGGCTGGGGTTAGGGTGGCCCCGCGCGCCCCTCGAATCTCACACCTTTTCTTTGCCGATGATTCTTATCTATTCCTGCGGGCACTCTGCAGGAGTGTGATACTTTAATAACGGTACTAAATGAATATGAGGAACTCAGTGGACAACGCGTCAACCTGGCTAAGTCGGCGGTCTGTTTCAGTAAGAACATTGCGCTTCCAGACCAGGAGTTCTTAGCGGCAATTTTGGGTGTTGGAGCTGTTGGGGTGCAGGATAAGTATCTGAGCCTCCCCACTTTGATTGCTCGTTCTAAGATGGCAACCTTTCGGTATTTGGAGGACAAGCTGTTGGAGAGGTTACAGGGATGGAAACGAAGGACCTTGTCTTGGGCAGGGAAGGAGACACTGATTAAGTCTATTGCTTTGGCCTTACCTTTGCATGTGATGTCTTGCTTCAAGATGCCTCTTTCGTTGTGTCGGTTATTGGACAAACATGTTGCTCGCTTTTGGTGGGGTGATGAGGCGGGCCACTCGAAGATCAGGTGGATGGCCTGGAGGGATATGTGTAAGAGTAAGCATGAGGGGGGTATGGGCTTCCGTCGGTTTGAGCATTTCAATAAAGCCCTTTTAGCCAAGATCGGCTGGCATATTTTAGTGGAGCCTCAGTCTCTTCTAGCTCAAGTCTATAAGGGAAAATACTTCCCCTCTGGGCATTTCCTCAATGCTAAAGCCAGGTCACGCCCATCTTGGGGCTGGCAAAGCATTTTATATGGTCGGGATTTATTGGAGATGGGGCTCCGGTGGCAAATTGGGAATGGGCGGTCGGCGTCCCTACTCCGATCCCCCTGGATTCCTCCACTGCAGCTTGATCCCCCGCGGTATAATCCGGTGGTGTTACCAGTGGGGGGAGATCCTACTGTGGCTGAGGTAATTTGCCAGGGGGAAGGGCGATGGTGTGAGCTCAAACTTAGCCAATGGTTTGATCCGCCTACTTGCCGTATTATAAAAACTATTCCCCTTCCCCGACAGAATATCGAGGATAAACTGATATGGCATTTTACTCCTGATGGGGTGTTCTCGGTCAAGTCAGCCTATCATCTAGCTGTCTCCCTTGATAGGAGGAGGGGTAGGTGGAAGGCGTCGTCAAGTTGGATGGATAGATCCAGTTGGATCAGGTTGTGGGATGCGAATATCCCCCCTAAGCTGAAAGTCTTTGTTTTGGCAAATTCTGAATCGAATTCTCCCCACCACAGAGGCCCTAATTGCTCGAAAGATCCCTGTCCTCCCACGTTGTCCAGTCTGTTGGGGTGGCCCGGAGACCATGGAGCATCTGTTTCTGGATTGTCTGGTGGCGCGTGAGCTCTGGGGCCTGTCGGGGCTAGAATACTTAGGGGAGGGGTTGCCTCGCCATACTTTTTCGCTGTTTCTTAAACGTTTGCTGGCCTTAATTCAGCAGCCGACGCTCTTTATGGAAGTTGTCGCTATACTTTGGCGTATCTGGCGGTCGAGAAATTGGGTGGTGTTTGAAGGAAAGCAGTTTGGGTTCCCCGCGTTGATGATGCAGTTTTCCCAGCAGTATGAGGAGTGGGCGGGGCTGCCAGTGGATGTGCCTCGTATGCCTTCTCCCCCAGTGGCTCCACGATCAGACGGGGCAGGGCTGGATGCGGGGTTTACTTGCCAGTGGGACGGGGCTACCAGGAAGGGGTCGCATTCAGCAGGTGGCATGGTTCTTCTGTCTCCCTCTGGGGATGTTCTTATGGCTCACGGGATTCAGTTCTAGGAGATTGATGACCCAGGGGTCGTGGAGTTGCTAGTGCTACGGGAGGCTATTACTTGGTGTTTGGGGCAGGGGATTACGGGGGTGCGATTCGAAGGGGATGCTAAGATTGTCATTGACAAAATCAATTGCAAGGATGCTAATATTGTCATAGTAGCCCAGGGATTAGTGTGCGGTTTATAGGTCGGAGTAGTAATAGGGTGGCCCACTTGGTGGCTAGAAAAGCCTTCTCTTTGTACCCGACCATGAGTCGTTTCTTTGATTTCCGGACCTGGCTTGGTTCCAGGGTGTAACTATCTATGTTTTGGTATCAATATATGATTATCTTTTGTTAAAAAAAAAAGTGGTTGTTCCTATTTTATTTTTGTGCACTCATCATTTGAGTCATCCTTTATTCTCTAATTGAGAAGCAAATAGAAAAACATATGCTTCAAACCAACAAGACCCCGATCAGAGTATTAAACCTCAAACTTCTTAATGTAAATTGATGTTGCCCTTGACCGTGGTTAATACTTTAAAATATAATATAATATTTTATTAAGAAAATAGCTTTTTCGATTTGTCTTTTCTGGTCGAGAGAGAGATATTTGCTCAATTTTCAATCTGTTATTATATTTGTTTTCCTGGGTGTATTTTTCTATTTGAGAATGATGGTTGAACCATATTTTTGGGTTACATTGTATCATTCGCATACATCTTTATATTTTCTTGACTTGCTTCTCAATTTGTTAATGACGATGATCTTGACTTGGTCTTTTTGTAACATTTTTCTATTTAATATTGGAGTATCGTATACTGCAGCATGTTATGGTGACTTGCAACTCATCATATGCACACCCAAAAAAATTTATAGACGAAAGCATCAAAAGTTCAAGATTTTTTTCTGTTATCATTTTACTTCTCACTCGGGTTTTTTCAGAAAGAAAAATAACTCATTCAAATGTAAATAAACCACACAGCCTTAGGTCTTAGTTATCTAACACTTGATGAGTGAACCCTAGGTCTTAGTTATCTAAATCATAGAGTCTAACCTCTAAGATTTAACATATAAATTGTTGCATATATTTCAACGAATCATAACTGTTGATTTTACTTTCTAATTAAATTGATCTTATTGTATGAGATTTATAGAAAACCTAGACTTTAATCTTTAAAGGTACGAGAATAACACCAGATGCCAAACTCTGATCAATTTAAAGTCTTGATATCATTTTTTACTCAAGATATGTCTTATTAACCAAGGTATGATAGAATCACCCACAAAAGTAAATACAAGTTACTGTTTCATAAGACTTGAGATGTTCATATTTTATTTTTGTACTCGAGCTTTTTTTTAGACCGGCTTAAGTGTGGTTGTTCCTATTTTATTTTTGTGCACTCATCATTTGAGTCATCCTTTATTTTCTAATTGAGAAGCACATAGAAAAACATATGCTTCAAACCAACCAGACCCCTGATCAGAGCATTAAACCTCAAACTTCTTAATGTAAATTGATGTTGCCCTTGACCGTGGTTAATACTTTAAAATATAATATAAAATTTTATTAAGAAAATAGTTTTTTCGATTTGTCTTTTCTGGTCGAGAGAGAGATATTTGCTCAATTTTCAATATGTTATTATATTTGTTTTCCTGGGTGTATTTTTCTATTTGAGAATGATGGTTGAACCATAACATAATTTTTGGGTTACATTGTATCATTCGCATACATCTTTATATTTTCTTGACTTGCTTCTCAAATTGTTAATGACGATGATCTTGACTTGGTCTTTTTGTAACATTTTTCTATTTAATACTGGAGTATCGTATACTGCAGCATGTTATGGTGACTTGCAACTCATCATATGCACACCCAAAAAAATGTATAGACGAAAGCATCAAAAGTTCAAGATTTTTTTTCTGTTATCATTTTACTTCTCACTCGGGTTTTTTCAGAAAGAAAAATAACTCATTCAAATGTAAATAAACCACACAGCCATTAAAATACACCCCCGCTACAACCATGGACGGGCTAAGGGAAAACTTGGATCCTAGCCGCAGTATAGTGCGGCACCAAAACTAGTATATATGTGAAACGACATTAGAGATCAAATCGTTGAGAGTTTTAAATATAACGAGTATCTAATAACAAATCCGTTACAATACTATCCTACAATTTACACCAAATCAACCACTTGTACATGATTTCACCAATGCAACATCACAGACACTACTATTCTCTTTTTTCTACCATTACACGAAGCAATAGCCTACCTGGCTAGCTCCATTGATCAACATATTCAAAGGTTTTGTTAATCAAACATATACAATATTCTCACGGGCCAACTGTTGTCCATTTATATCCAATTTAAGTTGGGGCCCAACGGCCAGCTCATTCTTAGGCTGATGCTACGGTGCCGCAATAAAAAGTGCGGCACCGGTGACGCGACTTTCTATTGATCTACGTAGGCGAATATGTGGCACGGGCTGACTATATTTAATTTTAGCCCAAACTTATCTACCCATCGAATCTAACCAAATTGAGCTGCCAAAATAGACGGAATAGTCTTCTGTTTGTCTCTCCGTCCAGTAACTAATTGAGATTTGAGAATTGTATTGATTTAGAGTTGCCTTCTTTTCCTCCTGAAATGTAAAAGCGAATGGGGTGATTTCTTGGCGTCTTTCACGATCTCTCGACTGCCGATTGTCAAGCGAACAAGTTGTTCCGGCGAACTCCACCGTTGCCGATACAAACTCCACACCCTCTTCTCATTTAAACAGGAGATAGACCAGTAAAAGGGGAGGATGAAAACGAACTCGAAATGTGAATCATCGTCTCCTCCATTTATTCTACAAAACATAAGCATCGATTTCCGCGTCGTCGTCGTCTCTCTGTCTCCGAGCAGCGACGTTGCCACGATACTTTATGAAGCCTAGTCAAAGAATATGAGAGATAACTCCCGCTGCATCGTCCCCCTGGCTGTGATCCGTCCCCGTCGATTGTAAATTACTTTGAGTTGTTTCCACCATGGGCGTGCCTTCTAGTCTGTTGTTGAATGCTTGGATTTGATGCTATTGTGTTGTTTTGGGGTGTTCTTATGTTCAGTCCTACTTGCTGTGTCTTGTGAGAATAGTATGGAGTTGTAGCAGGAAGACTAGTTATTGTGACTTGTAACAAGTTCCTGATTCGAAGTGAGAGGCATAGTAATGGCAAAGACACTTCAGAAAAGGTTTAAGCAATTTAGTTGTGTCATACTATAGCATTCGTTTTTAAGGTTAGACTATGTTGACAGATTTTATGTGTGGTTGGTTACCTGCCGTCTTGGCTATTCAGAAAATGTTTAAGGGGCCGGTAAGGAGAATCAGCTGCCCAGACTCTAGTGTGAACTGGACACAAATATCATCAATACATAGGAAAGTTTTGAGCTAGTATTTTCAGTATTCTCTAGAATCACAGAAACGTCAACTTGGAGTAGAAATGCCCAGAAGCTAGGAGTCAGAGGTCCTATTTTCCCTCGTTGATCAATGAACCAGGACGCATCATCCATGTTGAGATCGGGCATTTGTAATGTGAAGTACAGATGGTTGATAATATGAAGATGGCGTAAAGCTGCAGAATTGGTTGAATGAGAAGGATGGAGAGCAACATTGGAGTTCTAGTTCATTTGGAGCTGCTGCTAGATCCTGATGATCGGCCATCCATTTGTACACGACAGGTCTAGCAAGCGGGATATTCAAAAATGAATTTACTCTCTCAAGTGGATTATGCATCATGTCATTTCAGCAGGTCATTGGCTGTTAGTTTCTAGCTTGAATAAACTGAAGCACCAAAAATTCGCTCTTTTCCAATCACTTCATTCTCGACATGGTTGTTTGAACGGTAATTCTACAGCTAAGAAACCCTGAACCGCCCAGAATGTGAATCAAAAGTTCAGCCCATAATGTGAATAAACACTTCTTCCTTAAATCAACCAAAAGTGCTTATAATGAAATTGAAGAAGAGTATCTGTCAAAATAGTTAAAGAAGAGTAAGTACAACTTCCAACAGGACTACCAAATAATAAAATGAAAAATGAAGCTGTCATTAGTTTGTTCAGCTGCAACACGGTGCCAGGAAATGAAAGATTTAATTAACAAATATATGTGCTGAAATAATGATCTTGATTAGGATAGTGAAGTGAGTTGTTAGTGCTTCCTTGCTCGACAACTTCAGCCTGCCTTCCTCCCCATAAATTAAACTATCACAATAATCAACTTGAAGGCATTAATTAAAACTCCATGCAATGCATACAATTTATTGAGTCTATATTCATACCTCGATTAAAACCACCAACTGCCCCCGCCACTGATGCACCTGCCAGATTCTTGTGTTTGTGTAGCTCAAGCAGTGACTTTACGCTACTTTTCAGTACCTTATTGACCACGTATCCGTTGATCACAGCCTACACTCGACTGACCTCCCTCTCCATTCTATCCAGTTTACTGGTGCAGCTTGCAGGCTTCTTGTCCGAGCACAAGTTTTTTTTAAACCAAAGAAAAAGGGATAAAAAAAACGGATCCGGCAGGAGCAGCGGCAGAGGCCCAGCCCAGCTGAACGAAACAACAGTCAAGAAAAATCAAAGAATAAAATGTAAAAGAGGAACATCAGGCCAAAAGGAACAATCACTCCATCTAAGTGGATCGAGCCACTTCTGATGAGGGTCACAAACGCTGACTCAAACAACATGGCTGACAACAACAAGGAAAAGAGGAAAAATAAAAACACAGCAGCGTGGCAGCCTCAACGCCAGCGCAGGGCCGCCTCAACTTCAGCGCGTCACGACCGCAGTTGGAAGCCATCCAGCAGCAGCATGCTTAAGAACCATGACAAACAATTGCTCCTGGGAACCTGCCATACTTCCCGCACGGCTGCAAACTTATTGATTAGCCTGTGTGCCCCAAGCCACTCTGCCACCGTGTTTACACCATAAAATTTGTCTTGTACCACATTGGTGAGTTACAAGATAATCAAGGAGTTTATAAGGCCACACTCATTATAACAATTAATGTTGTTTAAATTGGGCCTTATGGATATTGATTTTAAACCCAAGTCACTAGCTCATTAATGAGCATGGACATGATTCAATAAGGGACATGGGCCTCTCGTAAGAGGCCATGCCATGCCACGAGATGGCATGAAAATTTCTAAGTATGAGAAGTCCATGGCCATGAATATAGAGGCCATGCCGCCTCATAACCAAGACCAAACGACACAAAAACATGTCCTTCTAGAATTTAGAAGCACATGCCATCTCAAGGAAGACCTCGATACGGTCAAAAATATTCTAAGTCTCGAGAAGAGCATGCCAATTCACGAAGAGGCCATGCCGCCCCATGACCAATGCCTAATGACTGAAAAATAAACTAAGTCTGGAAGAGGTACATGCCACTTCAAGGAGAAGCACGTGCCGCTTCATGAGAAGGGGCATGGATACAAGATGAGACGTCCATGCCACTTCACGAGAAGGGCATGGACGCAAGAAAAGATACTAAGTATGAGAGGGCCATGCTGTGTCACGAGAAGGGCCACAGACATGACTGAGAAGTCACGAGAAGGGCCACAGACATGACTGAGAAGTCCATGGCCGCGAATGAGGAGGCCATGTCGCCTCATGATCCAAAATATACTAAGTCTGAGAAGGTCATGCCGCCTCACGAGAAGGGTCATGTGCATGATTAAGAGGTCCATGGCCGTGTCATGTGATGGCCATGGACGCGAAGCAAGAAGCGTTATAAATTATTGAAAATACTAAGTATGGAAATGCCATGCCGCCTCATGAGAGGGGCCTTGTGCATGATTGAGAAGTCCATGCCACTTCACAAGAGTGGCCATGGACACGAATGAGAAGGGCGTGGTGGTGGAGCACTATATCAATAATGACTAAGTCCCAAGTGGGCCATGGACATGGGTAAGAAGTCAATGGCCATGAGACAAGAGAACAATGACCCCCTTTGCGAGATACTACATGCTCGTCAAAAGACTAGCATGGCACGAGATTCAGAACAAGACCAGGCGAGGCAAGCTACACTCCAAACCCACGACGGTTCCAAGAGAGGCACCTAGGCGGTTGAAGGAGTAACCACCACTCCGAGGAAGCAGGGAGCAGTTCTTTTTGGGAGTTATCCAAGAGGCGGTTTTCTACCGAAGAAGGAGGAGCGGTTCTTTGTAGCAGTTATCCAACAAGCGGTTTTCTACGGCGGTTACCTCCTCGGGGCTATAAATAAGAAGAGGGGTCGACAGAGACAGACGGTTCAAAAAACGAACACTCTGACACACATGTCAAGTTTATCCTTTACCTTTTCTCTATCATGTAGCCATAGATGTAGTTCGTAGTTTGGAGCTCTCGCCGAACCTCCATAGGAGTAGAAGTAATTTAATTTAGATCTCGTTCCCAAAAATCATCAATCAAACACCCTCGTTCGAACTTTGTTTGAAGAGGTGTGAGCCGTGTCTTAGAAATCGTTGTCCATAGAAGTCAAAGGTGCAATCCATCTCAATTCAACAAGAGTTTTCTCGCCGGGAAACACACCGATCTTGTGATTTTTTGGGACACTAAACAGGGGTTGGCCCTGAATATTATTTGGTTCCTTTCCAACCAAATTTGCCAACACATCGCGTGCGCGATGCAGTAGCAAATCCAGTCGTTTAAGTTGTCTTGTTTGTCTTTCTTCCATCTGCTAATACACGTCAAAAAATTTCCTTCCGGCGGAGAGATGCATCTATTCGAATTCTTGAGTTGCAGCCAAATTTCTCTAGTGTACCTGCAATCAACGAAGATATGGTTTGTTGTTTCCTCGCAGCCCAGACAAAGGCTGCATCTATTGGCGAGCTGCCATCCGCGTTTCTTGAGGTTGTCTAATGTAAGTATCTTGTTGTGCGCAGCAGTCCAGATGAAGCGCATACTTTGGAAGGAATAAACTTTCTCCGGACTGACTCGGCCGGAAAATCTAGAACGCCATGGAATTGATTGTTGATTAAGGCCTTGTACATATTGTGGACAGAAAAAGAGGACTTTGGCTAGGACCAGACTAACCGGCTTGTCCGAGCACAAGTTACCTAATTTCATTTTTATATATAGATGATTACGCCAAGTTCAGTGTTGAGAAGATCCTAAAGTAGAATTTAGCCCACTTCCATTCCTTTATAGCATAATCAAACAAACAACCAAACAGAGAAGAAGATGATTTCAGTTACCAGAGACTGTGATGATGTCCATGTCAGGGGAAACAGACCGAAGGAAATCCATGAACACCTCTAAAGACCAAGCAGCCGTCGGTGGTGGCCATGGGGAATTGGGGAAGGAGTATTCGCTACCCCTCTCATAAATTACCCCCGTTGCTACTCCTCGATCCCAGGAGGACAAATGAACAAAAAAAAAAAAAAAAACGAGCCTCCCAATCCCTGATGCACCATCTTCAGAGCAAAAACAGGAACTGAAACGACATACATGATTCTCCTAAGATTAATCGAATTACCTGGAATCCTTTGCATTGGTGGAGAAATTTGCTGAACAACTATACTTGGTTTTGAGATTCCAATAGGGACGACTGCAAAATGAAGCGGACGGGGCTGAGGGAGTCGAATCTCTTCTGACTTGTGATAATCGGGTACTTTGGCGGCTCCACGCAAGTCGGCGACGCCGGACAAGTCGCCGGGTGATGGAATCGACGGCGGATAAGCCACGGGGGGTGTTTTTGTCGCGGCCACCAACGAGGGAGATCGATGAAGCTTCTGGTTCGTTTGGTGTCGATCACCGTATTTTGTTTTCTTATTTTTCAGTTACATGATTTTTAATTTAATTAATTAAATATAAAATAAAAACAAAGCATCCAACGAGAAGTCCCTTTTCCGTTACTTTGGGACACACCGTTCAAATCATTTCTAACGGGCCACCTCGGTTTGGTTGAGATTATTTAAACAATCCAATGCCACATCACAACCATATGGACCAATGAAAAGCTGCGGCACCGTAGTATTGGCATCATTCTTAAGGGTGCTTCCTCTGGGCCAACGAAGTGGGCCCATGTAACTAGTTTATTGCCCAGCCTAGCTGGAATTTAAGGAAAGGGATGCGAGATCAGTCCCACGAGAAGGAAGTGGGTAAATCTGATATGGCAAGCGATTGGACGAGGTGATTTGATTTAGGCCCATGAGGAGGAAGGGCCGAAGAGGCGGTTGGTTAACTGACTAAGTGCTGGGCCGCGAAGCAGGGACTTCTGCGCAATTTTGGACGAGATAAGGGACTGTTTGGGAGTTCTCCCTAATAAAGTCGTTACGCGGAAACCCGAGCATGGTCCCCACCGAAGAGCACTTATCAAGACAAGTCAGCTTACTTACTTATCACTGCATTGATCATATCGCGTGCAGCAGCACAGATATAAATACCCAAATTTCCATCACTCCTCTCCACCACAGTAGAGCGAGAGAGAGAGAGTGCTAGTCGTAGAAAGTAAAACTTAAGGAGCAGAGCCAAGAGAGCAAGACTGGGTGGGCGCTTTCGTTTCTTGGTTCCGAAGTAGAAATCGACTCGGAAATCACAGACTTCTTCAATTCTTGGCTCCCTTCATCAGCGCAAAGTCATCGATAATCAGGTAACGAAACCACATTCCTTTTCCTTTGCTTGCGTCTCTGGCGCGCCTCCTCCGGTGATCGGAATTCAGTTGCTTACTGTTATCGCTCTGACTGAACGCAACTGTGCGACTTATTTCCGTTCATCTATTCACGCCGGGCGTTGGACGATTGATTTCTGTTCTCTGGACTTCTCGTCTTCCCGGACGATGAAAAAAGAAGAAGAAAAATAGTATAGAGAATTGGACGATCGGATGGTTAGTGTAATGAATTCTGCTCTAGACTGATGGTTTCTCATCTGAATTTTAGGGTCTCATTTGGGGAAGATGACGATTCTCCATAAAGAGCTGGTCTTCTTGATACTGCAGTTCCTTGAAGAAGAAGGTTTTAAAGAGGCTGCTCGAGAGTATGTTTAATATTTTTTTTTTCTATTGCCCCTCATCTAGAGCCACATTGTTTCTGAAAATCTTTTACTTTTGGCTTGTGAGTTCTAAATTTCTAATGGTTTGATGCGGCAGGCTTGAGCGGAATAGCGGTTATTTCTTCAATATGGAGCATTTTGAGGAATTGGTTCTGAAGGGGGACTGGGTTGGGGCTGAGAAGTATCTTTCTGGGTTCACTAAGTTCGACGATAATAAGTACTCGACCAAGATCTATTTCGAAATGAGGAAGCATAATTACCTTGAGGCGTTAGATAAGTAAGCATCCTATGCTGTATGATTTATCCCCCTTTACTTTTGTGATTTCCCCTATCAAGATGGAGTGATTATCACCATGTTTGTTGGTTTCTTCACAGCAATGATAGAACCAAGGCAATAGACATCCTTGACAATGATTTGAAAGTTTTTTCCTTGGATAACAAGGACCTGTTCAACGAGATGACACAGCTATTAACCTTGAACAACATAAGGTGTGAGATCTGAATCATTTTGTTTCTTCTTTTTAAATATTGAAATGGGCGCAACTGTGCAACTGCCTTTAGACATTCTAAGTGAGCTAGAACTTTTACATGTGATGCTTGGATAGGGAACATGAATCCCTCTCAACGTATGGTGATACAGAAACTGCAAGAACAATTGTGGTGCAACAACTCAAGAAAATCATCAGGGCGAATCCCATTTTTCATGGAAAAGTGGATTTTCCCTGCATCAAAACTCAAAGGTTACGTAGTCTTCTAAATCAAAGGTTAGACTCTCTGCCATGTACAAGTGAGATATACAGAATTTTTATGGGTACTGTGTGAATTGTGATAGTACGTGTCCTTCTGATGGGTATAACAGTTTCTCGAGGTCACATTGATTTGTGGAATCTGTAACTTAGTCTCAGAATCATAGTTTAATCTTCCTGATTTGCAGCATACTGGTTTGAAATTGAGATGGAACTGATAATTGGAAGTTGATGTTACAGCTTGAATTGGCAGCATTTACAATGTCAAAATCCTCAGCCAAATCCTGATATGAGAACCCTTTTTGTGGATCATGTTTGTACACCTCCGCATGAGCATATACCTTTCTTGTTGAATGCTGTTAATCCACAGGTATGATATGCTAGTCATAGCCTCATAGTTCATAGCTTTCTTATTCCAGAGTGGATTAACTATGGTTCACAGTGAAGTCATTTTTAGCATCTGGCTAATAGTTTTCAACTGGTGATGTTTCAATTTTTCATGTTTAGTGTACATCTGCTAGTGTGACATCAACAGTAACTAACTCTGGGATCTCTGGCTCCACCCTTTATCCTGGTACTGACCTTCTTTTTACTTTTCTCTTGATTAAGATTTGTTTTTTTTAATTTTGTGAGTTTATCTTCATTTTAATACTAAGTCCTTTTTGCTTGCCAGTGGCCACCACAGATCATATTGAGGAGACTGACTTTGCATCCAAAAGACCTTTATCTCAGATAGCTGATAAGGTAAAACAGGATAAATTTCCATTTTGATATCCAGTATTCATTATTAACCTTTTCTTTTCTATTACAGATGACTATGAAGGATTTGCAGGAGACACAAAGCGTTACTCCCTCTGGTCAAGGTTCTCTAGTTCCTCTTGTTGATTTGTGTGAGATTCATATGGGGAACACTGTTCTTGGGAGTCAACAACGGACAAACATCATTGACTTACCAAAGAAGGTCGTGAAAATATTGACCGAGGACTCTTCTCAAACAAGCATGGAATTCCATCCAGTTCAGCATACCCTTTTATTAGGTTTGGCTTTTAATAATTGCCCTTGGATAACTACTTTACTTAGTATTAATGTTTACTCAAACAAGTTTGTTTCGGGCACTGCAGTCGGAACTAGCACGGGATACATAGGTTTGTGGGAGGTCGCTTCTGGTGAAAAGTTGTTTGGATGGAATTTCAAGGTTTGGAATATAGGTGCATGCACAATGGTGTTCAAGGTTTGTTTATACATGGAACATTTTCTTCCTTAGCAGGCAAGTAATTCCATGGAAGGATCTAAATCAATTTCAGACATATTTTCCAGACTGCTCTGCTTAAAGATCCGCAACTTTCTGTCAACCGCACTGCTTGGAGTCCGGATGGTTCCATTTTTGGTATGCCTATGTATAGTGGAACAAATGATTACAGGCAGTAGCTTGTCATTTTGGATTCGGTTGTTTTATGTGGGCAGGTTTAAATTGAAATGGCTCCCCTTTGTTTAATTAGGGGTTGCATATTCGAAACACATAGTCCAGATGTATGCTTACTATGGTGGCAATGACGTACGTCAGCAATTAGAAGTAGGTTTCACACGCTTCTCTCTTGTCCTTCTCTAACAATGTTTTGCATTTACAAGCTCTATAACTCTTTTCGTTGTTGTTTTCTTTTTTAAGATTGATGCACATGTTGGTAGTGTCAATGACCTTGCATTTGCTGCCCCTCATAAACAACTTTTAGTCATAACATGTGGTGACGACGGAAGAATTCAGGTTAGTTCACTGGCAACTTGTAAAATTAATTCTTGGAATCTGATGAAGCTCATGTAATTCTATTTTTGTTTTGTTTTAAGGCATGGGACATGGCCACTGGTGGTAGAATTTATAGTTTTGAAGGCCATCATGCATCAGTTTATTCACTCTGCCCCCGCACCAAGAACAACACTCATGTAATAGTAACACTTAAATTTATTTGGTAGTTTCAAATAAATAGTTATGTGAATCATTCTGGTTTCATTCATTCAGATATCATAAGATCATTGTACTTTTTTATTTCAGTTCTTCTTTTCCACTTCAGTGGATGGAAACATAAAAGCATGGCTCTATGACGATTTGGGACCTAGAGTTAATTACAATGCTCCTGGCCGAGCCTGTACATCAATGGCTTACACTACTGATGGCCAAAGGTTGCCACAGTTCTCTAGGGCTAACGTGAATTTGAACAACTTGATTTTTAAGTTATTATGTTAATGTTGTAATTAAATTTTTGTAGGCTTCTTTCTTGTGGAACCAGTAATTCGGGAGAGTCATTCCTTGTTGAATGGGATGAAAGAGAAGGAGCTATAAAAAGAAGCTACCGAGGATTGCAGAAGAGTTCTGTGGGTGCAGTTAAGTTTGATATAATGAAGAACCAGTTTGTTGCTGCTGGGAACGAAAACGTAATCAAGGTTTGGAATTTGGACAGCGATGATCTTTTGACAACTATTGATGCAGAGGGAGGCTTGCCTGTAAGTTCTTGCACGGTTCTTTTTGTTACTCTAATTTAGTGGAACAAGTACTGAGCAACAAAACCTGAGTTTGGTCATACTCTGACAATGCTCTGCCATGATTAAGGAAAATCCACAAATCCGATTCAGTAAGGATGGAATCCTGTTGGCTGTTTGCGCAAAAGAAAACAAAATCAAGGTCTTGGCAAGTGATAGTGGTCTTCAGTTGCTTGGTATTTGTGGAAGTGATTCTGACGAGTCTTCCAGAGTGGTTGGGGAGGTTAGCACATTCTTCCTCATCATTATTAAGCTTAACACAAAAACTTATATCTTAAATTATACAAAAAGCTTTCCGTATTGTGACATCAAGCATATTGCGCAGAGGATTTTGAATAGTTTATGTGCAGGAGATGTTGTTCAGAGATTTTTTCCTGGCACGCCTTAAGAATTAGAAGCTGCTTCTGTAGTAACTATAAGCCAAGTTAAGTGTTTTTTTGCAGAAAGGAGACACAGAAGGCAGGGAGGCTTTGAATTCCAAACTTATCGAGGAAGCTAATGTAGGAAAGAGTAGGAAACCTTTTGAATCTTACAGACATACTCAATGCCAAAGCTTGTTGCTCCCTTCTAATGTGAAAGTAGAGAAGGTTAGATCTGCCAATAATGTCTATATATTTTCATTTTTTCTAATTTAGGTCACATTTAATTCGATATGTATGTCTTTTGACCCCAAATAATGATGGACTTAATATGCACTTATATACCATATGCTTACTGTATCTCCATTTCGATATATAAGTTATAGACACCATTACACTCATCCGCTGTTTATCTTCTTATTATTTCAAATTGTGGGCAGTTTGTTCATGTGCACCAGTGGTACCTCGTTCCTGAGAACTGTGGATCCCATGTCGTCCTCCCATTCATTTGTTCACATTGCTTGTGTTACAAAATGTGAATAAAATAACATTGACATTGTTTCTCTGGAACTAATGCAGATATCAAGGTTGATTTACGGGAGTGCAGGTAATGCTGCTTTGGCATTAGCATCAAATGGAATCCATTTGTTATGGAAATGGCCAGTTAATGATCTCAATTTGACTGGGCAGGTGAGATAGACCACACATCTGAAAAACTTTATTTCTCTGTTTGAAATTTTCTGCTTTAGGCTATTTACCTGGGTCAATTTTTTAATGTAGGTAACTGCTAAAGTTCCTCCTGAACTACTGAAACGAAGGAACTCCTCAACAACACTGATGAAAAACGACCTTACTGCAAATACTGAGGCAGTCCCATGTTTTGCTTTGTCAAAGAATGATTGCTATCTCATATCATCATCAGGAGCGAAAATTTCCATTTTCAACACGTTGACATTCAAGGTAAAAAAACAAATAACCGAAACCACCTTGTATTTACTGGCTGTTAGAATTTAGAAGATGCAATACCAATTATTTTGCGATTTGCATTAGCTGCATCAAATTTGGGTATCTTTTCTTACTGTTCTCGCCCCCCTTGGTGATATCCACAGACTGTTGTGTCTTTCATGCCTCCATCCTCAGCAGCTACATGTCTTGCTTTCCACCCCATAGATAACAATATTGTTGCCATAGGGAGCGCTGATTTCACAGTTCTTGTCCACAATGTCCGTTTGAACGAGGTATGTCTTCCTCCTGCTGTGAAAGGGCATCTGCAACAGGAAAATCCAGGATAGACTTTCCCAATTCTTGAAGTATTTTTATGCAGACTATTAGTGTACTCGATGGTCATACTGGAAGGATATCCGGACTTGCCTTCTCAAACACTCTGAACGTACTGGTATCTACTGGAGCAGATGCTCAGGTTAGCATTCTTGTTTCACGGCATCTACATGGAATCACCCTTCAACTATTTCGACAGTTTACAAGCTTTCTAATCCTTACTCCACGTAACTCCATTTGGGCTCGTGGTGTCATGTTTCTGCTAGTTTATTGCTTCAACACTGTGTTTTGGCGAAGTCAGAAATGAAATTTTACTTGTGAAGCGAATATACATGAAATATGTGTCTGCCCTCATGGAATAGTTGTTTAATGTCTACCGAAAGACTGAAATGATGTCTCCGCTTCAACTTTTAAGTCGGCGTATTTTCAGCCGAAACACAGATTGGCGGTACTAAGGCATTGTGCCATCTTTAGGCTGAGTGATAAATCGAGTTTGATCTACATTTGCATCTTCTGCTGCATGCTATGAGAATCATTTTTATTTGTTCTGTAGATTATTGTATGGGATGCTGCAAACTTCGAAAGACAAAGAAGCAGAAGATTACTAGAGATTCCAGAAGGATTACATCAGTCAGATACCTATGTCCAGTTTCACCCAGACCAGACACAACTCCTTGCAGTACACAAGTCCTATATGGGAATCCTGGTGGCCAACAACTTAGAATGTGTTGCAAAGGTACGCCACTCTGTTCCTCCTGGGTGATGACAGCGTCCATGCATTTACTATTACTTCAAAACGGATGATAACCAGCAACATCTTCCATCATATATTTGCAGTGGATTCCTGGAGATTCGCCACCAATATCCGGGGCAACATTTTCGTGTGACGGCCAGAAAATATATGCTGCCTTTATGGATGGGACCGTGGGCATATTTGCTTCGTCGCCGCTCGAATTCTTCTGTTGGATCTCGCTTCACAGTTATCTTCCTTCTAGTTCAAGGTACGCCTGTATGTCTAATTTTTTGAATGCTGCAGCTTAGTATTCTTCATCTGCCATGGATCTCTAACGGTGTTTGCTTGTTTTTGCTTTGGGATTTGTAGCTTGAATGTCTACCCTGCCGCCATTGCAGCTCACCCGCAAAAGCCGAACCAGTTTGCAGTGGGATTAACAGGTGGGGAAGTCGTGGTGATTGAGCCTCCAAGTCCTGGTACTGAATGGTAGGTGGATTGATTCAGACGATGCGCTTTGAGAAAGAAGCCGACTGCATTGGCTCTTGAAATGAAGAGCGTAGAACTCGTCTGTTCATGTGTTAGTAAGACAAGAGAGCAGTTATATGGGCTATTTGGCTGCTAAGCATAACCAGGTGCCTGGAGGGTGGTGATCTGCACGTTGTAACCAGATCTTGTGGTCATTTTGGTCCCAACTTCCTTCATTTGCTTAGGCGGAATTTTCTGTATGTTTGATTTTCTTCTTTTTCTGTTGTAAATGAGGTGGAAGAGTTCATTTAACATAGAGATCAGATCACCATAAAGGTGAGGGTTATAGAGAAAGGATATGGAGGAAAAGTAGTGACCTTCGACGACTTGAGCAAACCAGCATTTGTAAATACTAAATACAATAAGCTCGCGAACAATGCTATGGCTGGCAATGTTCGTTGATGGCTTTGAACCTTATGAAAACCAATTCTATCGCTCCCTTGAAATCAAGTAACCGAAGTGATTCAAGGTGTAAATGTAAGTGATCGTTCTTTTAAATATTAAGATCTGGTGATCATTTGCGTGACTGACACTCTAATAGTGGCATGTACAGGACAAAGTGACAACATCGTTCTTGCAGGGGCGCTTAAATCATGAAATGCAATTCATACTCCTCTTTTGTCTTTCCAATTCTCAAGAACATATTTCCACACACAATTCCAGACCGAACATCTACACCATCTTTCACTCACCATCCGCCTTTGCTGCTGCAGATGCGTAGCTGACGCTGCTGTCTCTCATGGTTTTGCACTGGCTTGATTGCTCATATCGAAGAAACTGTATCTTTATCTTAGTTGAGCAGTTCTTTGTCATCTGAATCACAGGTCGACAATAAATAGGGTATGAGATACTATCCATCCTACAGAAGTGATTAACTAACTCATATAACAGTCAAACACAGCCCTTCTATCTAAGTTCACCGAATGATCACTCGGTCAATCATTTTGGAACCTGGACAAAGCTATTGCTTGATGTTACGAGGCACTTACATGGAGGAAAACACTGATGGGATGGCGTCCACAGATGGTATTGTCAAACTCCAGCAAATAATTTTTGAAGGAATCTGGATCTCCCGTCTCGATTATGTCCATGCCCATCTTATCCAGGGCCTCGATAGACTTGTGTATGGCACCATGTTTGTTGTCATAGTGCGTGTAATTGAACCTACCACAATATATATATATAAAGAGTATACATATAAGCAACGGTTTACAGTTAACTAAAGAACAAATATTCGTGAATGAGCTTCAAGGAAAGAAGATGGCCAGTATCAGCAAAGAGCTGTTTTATATGTTAGTGTTAGCCCCAAAGTTAACCAACTATTGGTCATTGTAAGGTAGTAGCTTCGGCAATCAAATAAATAACAGATACCTAAAAGGGAGAAATTATGCTGAAATGAAAAACAGTCGACTATTTAAGATTTGGATGATACGTACCGTGTACCCCAGTGACAGAAATCTGAGGACACGGAAAAGAAGTTTTTGGGATCATCGATATATTTGGCCAACAACTTCCCATACTTGGCTTCACTCTCAGCATTTAAAGCACCAACCAGAATGGGTACAATCTTCACTTGGTGCCTGCCGCGGAAGTGATCAGTTGCAAAAGGTTAATGTCCAAGCTACAAAAGCAAAGAAGGGAAAGCCGCAAAGAAACATGCAGATCAGAAGATAATTACCCTTTAAATACTTTGGCCAAATAAGGTAAGTGCATCTCCATGCTATGTTCTGCCTCATCAACACGAAGATCCATCAACTCGAATTTTCCTGTAGCTTTAAGCTCCTCGATCACTGAAAGGATGGGACAGAAGAACATCGTTTGAATAGTAAGATACTTAGCAGAATAGCCCACATTATAGCACTTGCAACGGGAAACCAAACCGCATCTTCACACATGTGTTCAGCAATTGGCGCTTTCTACAACAAGGCAGAAAAGCAATGATTTTGCATTTCAATTTCATATTGCCTTTAGGATTGATCCTTATGCAGGTGAGAGTGCTTCTTTGATGTATTAGAATCTCTTTCAGTTATAAGGTATGAGATTTCTTCAAAATTTTAGAACTCTAGCAAGAGCTATTATTGTTTTCCAAGGGTTATTTGGGCCCTAATATCTATCAGACTTTATCACCAACTGGTGTGGCAGTTCAACCTAACCCTTTTTCTATCGAAATTCCCAACTTTACACAGATTCTTCTATATCTCAACAACGTAAGAATTCTGAAGTAACTCTATTCATATCAAACATGGCACTACTGAATGTGTGATCCAAAACATATCTGAATTACCTTCCTGATCAATAGGTAAGTCCCCAATCGGAGTTTTGTAAACCGTCGCAGTTGACAAAGCACATTTGGGAGTATAGTAGTGGTGAGATGGACCAAGAAGGAATACCCGAGAACTGAAACGACAAACAAGCACCCACATTCAGCATCAAAGCATCAGGGTATTCACCTTCCCAACAACAAAGCAGCCAAACCAATCTTTGCCCGAATAAAGTTCGGTCGCTGCATGCTATGGAATGTGCAGACAAAAATGAAAATACAAAGTAAGAAGAAAGGCAACGCACATGTTAGTCGGGTCGATGTTTCCAAATGCATAAGCAGCTGCCCGGCCAGAATACGAGTAACCTGCGTGCCTGTGGGAGCCAGCCCATACAATTCAAGGAAAATTGGACAACACAAAGGAACAATTGAAAAGAAAAGGTTGAAGAGCAAACATACGGAGCAATGACTCCACGAACATCGGATGACTTTGGCAACCCAGCAGCATCCAGCCACCCATCAAGTTCTTCTTCGAGCTTTCTAGCTGAGGATGGAGCAGGGAAAAACAATATTACAATTCGTCAGTTACTGCCCTGTGGTAAGGAAGCTGGGGGGCCATGGAATCTCAAATTTTACGGCTTTCCAAGCGTTTCGACATCTACATTTCATTGCTCGATCATCTGAAACAAAACCCTCCATAATAGCAACATGATAATCCGATTAAGCTTCCACATTCAAGATTTTCCCTAAACCCCTGAATTCAACCTTTACTTCCGCAGATAAGACCAGAAATCGATTGTAGGTGGGGAAGAAGAGTAGTGGCTTAACACTTACGATTATCGGTGTACCATGAGCCAGCATGAGATGCCCTTCTGATGACCTCCATTGTTGTGCTAATAATTGCTGTGAGCTCGATTCGATCCAATATGGAACCCTAATTCCGGAAAGGAAGAATCTTTGTAGGCAGCTCTTATGAGTGTTGGTGATCAGAGAATGAACTTCAGGCTTACTCTTCTTCAGCAGCTGCTTTTTATAGTACATCAAATTTTTGGAGCGTACAATGAAGTGTCCGAAACTCCGAATGAAGGCAAAGAATTTGACTTCACGGCACGCTATTAGATTGATTTGAAATGATTTACACTCTATTTCCGAAGGAAGAGAGGAAAATGAAGGGGAGGGAAATGAATTAGGAGGGGAGGGACAATTCGGAGGTTAAGGAAAGTGGAAGGAAAATGGTGTTTTATGGAGGAAAGTGAGAGAGAAAATTTGTATTGGGAATTGTGATATATATATTATTTTATTGGGTATATAATAGTAAAATTATTTGATTATATGTTGATATTATTTTCATTTGTTATGAAATGTGACTTAAATTTGTCATTTTTATTAATTTTGTTCACTATCAAAAATAAAAGTAGATGATTTGATTTTTTTTTTAAACCTATTGTTAAAATTTTGTTTGCTATTTTATTGATTCATCGATCAAACCTCACTTTATTAAATCGATATAAACTTATTGTACTTTGATCGAACCACACTTTATTAAATCGACATAAACTTATTTACTTCGATCAAACCATGCCACTTACTAAACCTTTGCAATGGTTAAAATCGATTTGACAACCTTTCAACATAAATATTCTACTGCTAATTTTTTCGATACAACCTCTATTACACATAAAAACTATTAGGAGATTAACTATCTATCATAAAAAAAATTGTACGGTCGAATATCTTAACTTTTATTCTCATAGGCGGTCAAATATTGACTACCAATTAATTATAAGTATGACATTAAAAGGAAAGAGAATAATAAAAGATAAGCATGGCGTTAAAATTTCATAAAAAATTAAAATTAAAATAAGCTTCCTACCTAGTTTATTACCGTTCCCCAACATAACTTCTAACAAAAAACAAATAAAAAATTGGAGCAGCCCACCAAAATTGTCTTTCCCTCCGGTTCTCTCCAATTTGGGAGGGAAGTTTGCACAGTGAGTAGTCCCCACCATTTTCCCTTCCCCTCTACTTTTCCTCGCTTCGGAAACGGGGGAAAGTCCTCGAATTTCCAACTTTCCCTCCATTTTTTTCCTTTTCCCTCCCTTTCCCTTCTTCAAGAACAGAGTGTTAAGGATCAGATTAGAGAAGGGCGTCTAGGAACAAGAATTTGAAATTTCGTGTCCTATCCTATCAATTATTGTTAGAAAATCCATAGAAAAAAGTATTTTTTATTTATTATCCAAAAAATTTCAATATTGTTTTATTTTATTCAAATTTATAGAAATTCTATTTGTTATAATCAAAGTCTGGCCATTCATTCTGTTTCCATTACCTATCTCGTAACAGAGTTCCACGTTAGCGTACACGTTAGAAATTAATATTTAAATATATTTTATTATTATAAATTTAAGGGTAATGTCTATTTATTACTCAAATATTTTCCATATTCTTTTATTTTAGCCAAACCTATTGGAATACTATTTATTAACCAAACATGTTTTAACTGATCAAAGTTTGGGGCTTTCATTCTGTTATTGTTAATTATTTACTAACATAGCTCCAACTTGGCATCCATGCCATCATCTACCTCAGAAATTCGTCAAATTTTAATTTTAATTTAATTTTAATTTGGCTCTCTGCCTTTCCCCCTTCCTCCATCGAGGCCTCTATCAAAGGATCTGTTAGATCCAAAAACCCAAAAAACAAAAGGATCTGTTAAAATTAAAAAATTATGGGATATTCAACGAAAAAAAAATGGGATGGTGATTGCCACGTTGGCAACGAACTCAGACTCGTGATTTTGAGTCAGCCATATTAACGGAATTGTTAACGGTGAGTTAACATTTAGTTAATAAATATTATTCCAATAGGTTGGATAAAATAAAAGAATACGGAAAAGGTTTGGTAATAAATAGACATTGCCTTTTTTCAATTAAAAACAGATGCCCTCTCATACCGCCACGTTGGCTTCCAACTCGAACTGATGCTGCTGAGTCAACAAACGTAATAGAACATTTAACGATGGGTAACAGTTGGATAATAAATAGAATTTCGATAGGTTTGGATAAAATAAAAGAATTTTGAAAAGTTTTGGATAATAAATAGACATTACACTTAAAAAATTATTGTTAGATAATGAATTGCGAGATAGGGTTGTTTGCTTGATGGATTGTTAGGTGATGAATTGAGCTAGAGGGTTGTTTGCTGGATTTGGTGATGGATTTGGATCCAAACGCGGATTTTATTCACTTGTTTTATGTCATTAGGGAGCAACAAATATATGTGGCACACAAATTTTGAGACCAACCTACTCCTATTTTTTTTTTATCTTCTCATACCAATGAAAGTAATAAACGTCAATTCACTTCCACACAAACAACTCTAACGTTTTTATAGGATAAATACAATATATTAGTTAGAACTATTAAGCATAGTTAGAACTATTAAGCAACGGGGGAATAATAGCCACAACTATCGAAATACAAATTATTAGCCAAACGTTAACTTTCTGTTAACAATTCCGTTAGTAATGCTAATTAAACTTTACGATGCTGAGCTGGCTCCCACGTGGTAGTCACCCTATCATATTTTTTAGTTTTAGGAAAATGAAAAGAATAAATAAATAAATAAATATATAAATAAATAAATTCTATAAAAAAACCCTTGTCACCCTCTTCTCTTGTCTTCCTCCGCCCTCTTCCCCTGTCTGTTTGATAGCTACTTCCTTGCCATTGGGAAGCACTCCGAACCCACCTTGTCCAAGCAAGTTAGACGCCCCGCAGCTGCTCAGGTAAGCCGGTTGCTGAGGTGGTGGTGGCTGTCTCCCCGGCGCTGGTGGCCTAGGTGGCGGTTTTGGCATTGATGCCACCACTTGATCTGGCTGCGGCGGAGCTATCTGCTGCCAGTGTTGTTGCTATTGGCCGCCGTATGCCATTAATCAAAAACCACTTCATCAGTTTTCCAGAATCTGGTATGCAAATTTTTCAGATTGAAGAAGGAGCAGATTTGAGTAATTTTGACCCAAGTCCAACATAGTGAGGGGTTATTTTGGTTTTTCCCGACAAAATTTGTCAATTCCAGTTTGGAATTCAAAGGGTTAAAAGGAAGGAGAAGGAGAAAATTGAACCTTTAGGGCCAGAAGAAGGCGGCGGTGGAGGAGCATAGTAACCAGCTTCATTGTCTACACATTCTTCTCCTCCTCTTTCGAGAAGAGAACCACCGGAAGAAGACGGCGGCGAGCGGGTAGAGGGAGGCGTGGAAGGGGTGACTAGGGTGGGGGTGGATTGCGGGGTCGTGGAGGAGGAGGATTGCGGAGAGGCAAAAGCAGGCGGAGAGGCTCACGGCCACGTGGGGGTGGATGGCGGGGTCGTGGAAGAGGAGGATTGTAGAGAGGCAGAAGCAGGCGAAGGGCTCACGACCCTTCAATTTTTAGGTTTTTATGTTTCAGAATTAAAATCAAATGTAGTGTGACGTGGTCCCTGACGTGGCCTTGTGCGTTAAAAATTTAATAACAATAACGGGCTGTTAGTCATAATTTAACTCGCAACAATAGTTATGACTAATAATTTGTATTTCGATAGTTGTGGCTATTATTCTCCGTTGCTTAATAATTATTGCTAATATATTGTATTTACCCTAAAAAATTATTTAGGGTAATTTAACTCGCAACAATAGTTATGACTAATAATTTGTATTTCGATAGTTGTGGCTATTATTCTTCGTTGCTTAATAATTCTTGCTAATATACTGTATTTACCCTAAAATATTATTTACCACAATCTCCTATAACAAAAGGATTAACTAGACGTATTGTCTCTATTCACGATGGTTTGAATAATAATTTCATAAAGCGTCAAATCTATTGTATTTTGAAAAGATTCATCAACGCGAAACCTTCGAATAATAATCATTGATCAATGAACATGACTGAGATTCATTCTCCATGGACAGGCTAAGTCAAGAATCGAGGATTGCAATTAGCATTGTCCCATTCCAACTCTTAATTAACAATATATTATTTATAATTGAACATCTCCCAACAACTTGAGTTATTGGGATCACTGGTTCTTGACATAGAACTAGTTACGGGCTCGACCAGTTTGTCGGATTAAGTTGTCAAACGCATAAATAACAGTGATGATTCGTATTCGAGATATGCATTGGTATAAGAAATTTAAGTTCATCAGATACTTTAAACATTCGGATCAATTTGGAGAATAAGAGAATCCAAATTATTAAAATAGTTCAACAATGTAAAAGGATCAACATCATACTATTTTTCAACATCTTAATGACTAATCGACTAAAATCATTTTACGAAAATTGAAAGAAAAACTCATGCCAGGGAACCAACTCATAAAGACCAATTAAAATGACCTTCTAAATTCTGCTAATCGTCAAAGATTACTGCACGTTTTCTTTTTAGCTTGTTTGCATTTCATTTGGCATGAGCAACAACATCATCATCACCATTAATAATGTCATCATGCCATTAGCGATACATGTATCTTCAATATCAATTGACTCTTCCTTCGGTTGTATCTTTCTTGTTTTACTGCATTTTATTGAGCACAAAAAAAAATTATGGTAAAATATATTTACAAATATAAATCGTCATAGCCCCAAAAAAAATTATTCTCTAAGATCTCCTTCAGCAATTGATGTAGCTTACATGCACATGTTACCCGAATAATTTCTTCTCCAAGATCTCCTTCAGCAAGTGATGTAGCTTCAGTTTGAAAACTCATGCGAGGACATAAGCTCTTGTAGGATCTTTCTTGGTAGTCCTTATTAAATCAAACATGTATTGAATCTCAGGCCAAGCATGCTTACATGTAAATATAATAAAAAAAATCTGGATATCCTGCCCATTTATAAATTGTCATAGCATCCTGGAAGCTTTCTACTTATATCGAGGACTAGATGTATGTGATGAAACTAAAATAACATGTTTTCTACTTAAATCGGTATTTGAATCACCTCTCAAGTAAGAATCCAAAAGACATTGGTAATAATGTTGTCACAACTTCGTTTGATTGTTTTAATCCAAATGCTCAGCCTCAACCAATGCATATGCATTAACAACATAATGTTGGAACAACTTACCACACAATAACAATGCGTTTGATTCTTCCAGTCTCACAACTTCGTTTGATTGTTTTTAATCCAATCCAAATGCTCAGCCTCAACCAATGCATATGCATTAACAACATAATGTTGGAACAACTTTCCACACAATAACAATGCGTTTGATTCTTCCAGTCTTGTTTGGAGTCTATAATTGTAAAAATTACATTTGGGTCACATTCTTCTCATTGAATCCATCTGTATCCTTAATGCTGGAATATAGAATATTTGGGTGCCAACCATCCTTGTCCTGTGGGAATAATATGGATATTGCAAAGCCATTAAACTTGGATAATATATGCTAATTTGATCCAGTTCATGACTTTGATAAAGGACAACAATATCAGGAGAAAATCTTTGCTCCCCAGTATCATCAACTATTAAACCAACAACCTCATTTGCATATGACAAATCATATTCTCTACCACCCTCTTCTCTTTTAGCAATAAATTATTGAACAGTAGTGACAGTCAGTTTGTTCCTTGCAGATTGAAATGTCTTGATATTATTTGAATATAAAATCTCCTGCAATTGTTGAATAACTGAATCACGCAAATAATTTGAAGTTGGATCTATGAAGAAAAAAATCTAACATGTTTTGGAGTTCATTGCTAGTGTCATATATGTAGAGTTGAACAAATTTTGGTCGGTTTATTTCAGTAGGTATCAGGCTACCAATTCGATGATATACTTGACCTCCAATCAAATAAACATATACTCCTCATATATGTTCCAAAAAGTGATGTCTCGTTGAAGTGTTTGCTTGCAATAGCATATTAATTCAGAACCTCAGGAGACTGCCTTTAAGGAGGGAAGTTCACTTTTCTTTGTCTGCAACAAAATGAAAACTTTGGTTCATTGGAATTCCTTGCGGGTTTGTTACTTCCTCCCTTCCACATCATCGCTCCATAATATTCACGTTTATATGATGGGGTTCCAATTTCAAATACTTCAACAATTGCAATAAAATTAAAACTCCAATATAAGAAATACATTTGATAAAAATTTCAACATTATAATAAATGAAGGAAAATGAAATAATTAAAATATTCATCACCCGAAGACGATTATAACGATTTTCAGCAAGTTTGATGAGCCTCAACAATCTATTTCTTTTAGTTTGTATGGTATTCATCTCATTTTGAAGTCTTGTATTGTATAACACATAATTTGATAACATATAAATTGAAAAATATGAAATAATGGATTAGCAGTAGAAATGTTGACAATTTTTCCATATATATGTTTTGCCTTATATAAAGAGCACATTTCTTTCTTGCTAATTTGGTCAATGGTTAATCTTATGTGCATCAATTTCTGAAAAAGAAAAATGGATAGTGATAGTTTTGTAAGATCAAATAGTGTGCAATAGTTAGAGACAGTGGCGGATCCAGAACAAGTTAGAACACTGGGCCGCATTTAAAAAGCGGTGAAGAGGACGCGGTCGTAACTCTGTAAACATTAAAATATATACCCAAAATCGGAAATTTACAAGTACTATACGAGTTTTGGATCCGGGGAGGGCTGGGCCGTGGCCCGGGGGCGTCCCCATGGATCCGCCGCTGGTTAGAGAGATTATAATCAAATGTTGATTCATCGATATTCATACCATAAGAAAATTTATTCTGCACTTCAGATTGAGACTGATTAGAATCCATCACACCTTTTGGTGATATAAAAATAGCCCTCTTTTTCCCTAAATAACGCATGGCATGGACACACACTAGATTGTAAGATGTATATAATTATGTTAATAAAAATATTTGTATTTTTGTTCAACTTTTAACGAACAAATTAAAGCATTATTTGATTGTTTAGATGACTCTCCACGTGAAGTATTTCTTTGAGACATAGAACTACAAAAAAGTTGCCACAAAAAAATATTTAGAGTAAATAATATAAGCAAAATAGTTGACATTGTTAGGCTTCTAACAATTCTATAAGTATTTCCTGTCGTGCCTCCAGAATTCACTTCTCTATTCTCAAATCTATATATTTCTGAATGGAACCCTATGACCACTATTTAGTTGATATCTTCATATATAAAACAAACACAACGAATCTAGCTTTACCCAACCAAGCAATAGCAAGTGTACCCATTTATTAGGAACCGAAATGTGGGGAAGAAGAAAGCAACAATGGAAGGACAATATAATCTTGGAAAACACAAAGCTTGTAGTCTTGTAATTATAATAGGGTTAATACAATTTATTAGCCAAACCTTTCTTTTCAAAAAAAAAAATAATAATAATAGCCAAACCTTATAAAAAACAAAATAATATCCAATCCGTTAACTTTTCATCCAATTGACCGTCAGTTGATCTTGACATGACAATTTGATTGCTGAGCTGGAAAAGTAAGATGACATGGCAAAAATACCCAATTAAATAAATAATTTTTTTTTAATAAAAGTTGAATCTACAAAAAGGTTTCATTCCATCGCAGCTCCGCCCCCTATTCTTCTTTCTTCCTTCCAACCCTAACCATTTTGATGCTCCAGAAATCCCTTCTAATAAAAGGAGAAAAATATTAAGATTTGTGCAACCCTAATCCTTTCGTTCGAGATCTGCCTAAATTTTCCTAATCTAGGACGACGACGGCGATGACATGACTCCGACGTTTCGAACAAGAACAGAGGGGAAGAGGAAGAGGCGGATAGCGTTGCCACCGTCGTAGCAGCGGCCGCCGCCGCCCCTGGAGCTCGCCAGCACCAGAACCTTTCGATCCCTCTCTCGCCATCGACCAAAAGAGAATTCTCTACCCTCCAGATCTATTTTATTTTCACCCTCATTCTCGACTTTTACTTGTACTTTACCTCCCTCCTCTGGCATCTAAACATTGGAGGAACAATGGCACACAAAACACATCCTTCTCGTTCTCTTCTTCATCTACTCCAAAATCGTCGTCCAAACTAGTCTCCTCTCTCGGCGGATATATCCGTCTGGAAAAGCGTCCCCATCCTCAATGTCAAGTCAAAATCCTTCAACACCGCTTTATCTTCCATCGGTCAGTAGAGGCTGCCGGATTTTTTGTAATCGGCAGCGGCGGCTCCGCCACCATCATCCACACCATCGCCAGGGATGGAAAGTCTTCGACGGCCTCAAATCCCCCTTAGTCGCCCTATTAGCCTCCACGAATGGTTGTTTGGCCAGGGTAAAAGCGTCAGAGCTGGATTGTGAATAGATGAAGAGAGCTTCCATGGCAGCGAACTCAGAGGGAAGCGGAGAAAGGAATTTAGGGATTTTAGATGCCATGAGAAGAAGCGGATATTAATCTTGTGCTTATTATGATTTTTCTGTTTTTATAAATAATAAATGTTTGATTAAAATTAATAAATTTTTATGATTATGCCACCTCATTAAATATTTTCCATGTCAACAATAAATGTGGCACATAAGAGTCAACTAACTGTTGACCTGATGGAAAGTTAACAGTTTGGTTAATATTTTATTTTCGAAAAGGTTTGGCTATTATTTTGTGTAAAATGAAAGGTTTGGCTATTAAATTGTATTTATCCATTATAATATGAGTAAATATTAATTATTAGAAACACTTTTCTCGCATTCTAAAATATTAGTCAAACCTATCGGAATACAAATAATTAGTCAAATATTTTGTAACGCGTCAAAATATTAGTTTTGGTCTGTTACCGTTAATTATTATATAGCGGTGCTCCACCTCGGCGTCCACATCAGCTTCCTGGTCAGAAATCAATAAAATTTTCTTTTATCATCATTATGCTTTCAAAATTTTCAAATTATTAGCCAAATCTTTCAAAATATAAAATATTTGTTAACTACTCATTAGCAGTTTTGTTAGTAATATTGACTTAGCAACATGATACTGACTTGAAAGAGCACGTGACAGTAAAATTTCCAAAAATTTAGTATTTCAATTAAGAAAAGAGTTTTTAAAAAATTATTTATTGTTTTAGAAAAATGGTTAATATTTTGATAGTTTACAAAAGAATTGGCCAATATTTTGTAATTCGAAAGGTTTGGCTAATAACTTGAAGTTTTTGTCTAATAAATTTTATTTTGTTAAGTTTGACTAATATGTTAGAAAGCGGGATATGTTTGGCTAATAATTATAGTAAATAAAAAAAGGAATATTTATAACAATAAGTATAGATTGCTTTCGTTCCGCATCTTTCCTCGAACTGGCTAACTTAAAGCATTTTTCTACTTGTATATGTCCCATATAAATTACAAAATTTAAGGAGTTAGGCTACTCCGTCCTACCTGAGTTTTATGGTACATGTAATGTGATTTAAAATTGTGTTTTGACCTAAAGGTCATTCCGTTCTCTGCGGAGAAGCCAGGAAAATTGGAATAGATGGGTTCCGGAGGAGAACCTCCTTATATGTAGTTTAGATGAGAGGTTTTCTGTTTAAATCCCGATGACTCATGTGTTATGTTAAAGCACATTCTTGACATTCTTGACACCAACTGGGAACAATGTTTAGGTGTGGTTTTGTGCCATTTAGGTATACTTCTTTGTCCATAATACTATTAAGAGGCTCAAGATATGGTGCATAACTATGAGTAACCAAATCTGGACCCTTCTTTTAAGTAGCTGCAGATCTAAGGGTGAAAAATTAAAAGAATTTATTTTCCCTAGTTTTCTTGATTGGATCATATCTTATTCATTCTAACTCGGATTTCAATTTTTTTTGCACAGATGGAACGATTTTGTTGTGCTCTACAAAATGATATCCATTTTTTACATTTTTTTAGAATTTTTTTTATACCTCTCGTACCAACTCCATGCCATATGGTATCTCCTTCCTTTTTTAGTTATTTTTCAAAAAATTTTGCACAGAAGGAACGATTTAATCATGATCTATTGGATTTCAAATTTTTCTAGGTGAAAAAATTTCATACCTATCGTTACCAACTCCATTCAATACTATATCACCCTGGTATGGGGTGATATTTTTCATACCATATGGTATGCTGTTATTTAATACCAGTCAATACCATATGGTATAGACTGGTAATAACTGGCAAAAAAATTTTGTTCAAAAAAATATTAAAGTGAATATCATTTTGAAGAGCACAATTAATCTGATCTATCTGTACAAAAAAAAAATTAAATTCCAAGTTAAAACGAGTAAGAAATCGTCCGTTAAAGATTAAGGGAAGGAAAATTAAAGGATTTTCGAGCAGAGATAAGGAGGCGCTGATGTGGCGGATTCTTATTGGGTTATGCATGGGGTTATAGCACCACAAGGTTACTCACTCGATCTGCTCCCCTATTAAGAGATGTGAATTTTGCATTGAGCTTAATTGTAGTCTAATTATAGTAAATATTATAAAAAGAAAGGGTTCAAATGGAATAGAAGGGTTGAGTGTGGTATTAACCCACCTAATACGATAAGCGACTATTAATGGGCTCAAGCCCACAACCAGGTGTCATGGACCCAATCCCACTCAAGGAGGCCCAATGCTCCTATATAAGAAGGCCAAGGTCTTCCAAGAGGGAGATCCTCTCATTTCCCTTCCTCACTTTCCCTAACGGTTTTTCTCTCTACTCTATCTCTCTAAACACCATGTACTCTCTCCACATCGTATTAACTTGGGCGTTGGAGCGTAGATTCCGGGGGCCGCCCCCTTCCTCACAGGTCTTCCACTCCCGAGGAGATCAGACGAAGGAGTCCAGATCGAAGCCCCATAATTACTATGTTAGCCTTGGGAACTTTCCAAGTGCAAACATTTGGCTCCCATCATTGGGCTAAATTTGGATATTCTGAACTTTGATTCCCGAAGTAGGAAGCAAAAATATGTGGAATTTCAAAGAAAAGCAAAGTCCAAAGTCGCAGATCGGGATGGAGAAAAGAAAAAAAGGAAAAGAGCTTGATCTCATCTCCGTCAGCTAAGTCGCCCTCATGCAAGTGTCAGCATGAATCCAACTTCAACTCCTGTCGCCAATCCATCAAGCTGCTAGCCAAAAAACCAACAAAGGAGAAAACCAGAAGCGACGTTAACCACAAAAAATTGACTCTCCATCGTCAGTGCAACCCGTAGTCACCGCCAACTACTCTCCAATTTTCATCTCTGTTTGCCTTGACGTCCCTCCCATTTCGTAAATCTGGCGACGGAGCCGTTGTCGCAAGCATCGACTCTTCCTCCAACTCCAACCACCCATCCATGTCGCTGAGTCGAGTAGCAGCAAAGGAAGAGAAAAGTAAAATTACAGATTGCGACCACCGATGAAAAGCCTGGCGCCGAAACTCTGACGACGAAAAGAAGGGGTCCTGTTGCATTATCATCACTCCCATGGCTTCTCTGGAAAAAATAGCTCTACTATAGTGGGTGGGCCTGCAAAAAAAAAAAAAAAATAATAGTAAAGAAGAGAGAGCTGTTTCTGTCATACTTTTTCTTCCTCCCGGGAGCAACAGTGAATGGAGTTCCGAGACAGCTGGCGGAGCTCCCGAGGCAACGCTTTGGAAATTCCCTTTTGCAGTTATTGCCAAGGAAAAGAAGAAAAAACCTATGAAGAAGAATGCCCATTCTTATGCTTCATCGCAAATGTTGTTGTGAAGATGAAAAAAAGAAAAAAGGAGAGGAGGCGGCAGCGAAATTCCTTTCCTTCATGCCCAACCGCCACAGAGTTCGACCCGCTTCCCAAACACCTCCAACTCAAATGGCCCAACTTGTTTGGTCGTCTTCGTGGTCTATAATGCAACACGGTCCACCAACCTTCAAAGCGGATAACCTCCACCCCACCTACAACAATAGCCGCCATACCTCTGCTTCACTTATTAGCCGGAAATCAAGACCACAACTCGGGGCCTCCTCCAAACAAGACTTGTTCCGCATTGGACCGCGTCCGGCCTGCTTCGTCTTAAACCAGTTAAGTCACCAACCCATCTCTCTTACAAAGATCTCATACAAAGGTCCAAGAAGTCGTGGCCCGCCACGAAATGATCTGTCTGTCCACACCGTAGCCCACCAATGCTCAGGCCGCCTCCCATCAAGCCCGCTTTCCGTTCCCAGTCAAGCTTGACCCGCTTTTTGTTCCAGCTCGACACTGGATCCGCAATAAGCCCATCATGCCAATTAGGACAGCCCGACTTTGCAAATAGGACGACCCGACTCCAACGTGGCCCATTACTCGCAGCTTCTCAAACCCGTCATCCAACGCGGCTCACTTCGCGTCCAACATACTTCGACAAAATGCGGTCCCCACCTCCAACAAACAACTTGGCCCTCCTTGGCCTCAAGGACATGAATCCAACTTGCGCAGCCCAACCTTCAGAGGCCCACGCCTCCTCCCTCCATGTCGGGACTGCCCAAAGAAAGACATAGAATCTATAATTTAATTAATAATGAGATGAGGAAACAACATCCCCCATTTCAAATTCGCTGCCTCCAGAGCGTTTTGCGGAGGGTTATTTTGGGGAGAAATTGACATGTCGAAACTTCTGCATTCTGCTTTTTTTAGTTGGGTTGTCTTCCTTGGTTGAGCTTCCTTCCTGACCCAGTATGCCATATTGTTTTACACATGCACCAGTCTGTAGCGGTTTTTATTTTTTTATTTTTGACCGTCCAGTTAGTATGTAACCGTCATTGTCGTTTAGTTCCGGAAATGTTTGCCAAATTCATCTTCTCTATCCGCCATGCTTCAAACTGAATTTTGGTTTTCTATTGTTTCGGCCGCCATTTCCTAATCTCTTATGATTGCTGATACACAAAATCTTTAACGCCCCTCTCTTTCCCTTATATTTATGTTTTATCTTCATTCTTTCGGGTTCTTAAAATTGAATCTCTATTTAGTATTCCAACTATGGTCATCTCCCTTGATTTAAGCTATCTGGTAATGTAACTTGGATTTGTAGTTTAAGCAATCTCTATTCTTGATTCCATCTATTGCCGTCGCAGTAAGTGATCAATTTCCGATTTGTTGTGTTGCATATAATAGGGTTGAATATTTATTTGCGCTGGACTGGTTATTTCAAGTATACTGGGAAATATGTATGCGCCGTCCACTAATTCTGAGAGCATCTCCATTTGAATTGCATTTAGAATTGCATTATGACATGGCATTCATTTGCAATTGCATTATGCAATTGCATTGATGTAGATGACAATTGCATCTTTGCAAGCTTGCATATAATGCAATTATGGAATGCAAGCCACATCATCCTTTTTATTATTAAATTATTCATTAATTTTATTTTTTGAGTGTTTATGTTTTAATAAATTAAATTAAAAAAATTAGTTGCAATTGTAAGTTAATTGCATTGATGTGGTGCAATGCAAGTAAGATGAGTTGGATTGCAAAAAAAAAAAAGAATGAAGTAACAATAAAAAAACAAATTCAATTGCAAATACAATTGCATCAATGGAGATGCTCTGAGGGTAATAATCAAATTGAGCATGGCCAGTCGAGTATCCAAGGTTCATGCTGCACAGCTCAATTATTTGGTCATGGAGGTATTTTGTATACTGTCTGTGTTTTGCATATTACATTTGTAGCATTTATGCTGTGCATTGGGTGTTTGAAACAATATCCTGTTGTAAAGGTGGGTTAGACGTTGAAGCTCGGAACGATATTTCGTATTCACGGTCACAAAAGAAACTCTCTGCTGTACCATGTGAGTTTAAATAATATTATTGTTTCAATTGTAGTTGTACAGTGGACTTATTTTAACTTTTATTTCTTATCGCGGATCAATAGGGAAAAGGAGAGCTGTTTTTATACAGAATGAAGACCATCAACACCGCTACGTTATGTCTGTCGTGGAGGAAGATAAATATGTTCAAGGTTTGTTGTGGTAATGAAAGATGTCCTGGTCGTTGATCTTGATAGTATGATTGATGTACAATATATTTTGTGCAGAACAAGCAATGTTACAGTCTGAGCTGAACCAGCTTGGTCAAAGCTTGGCTTTTGTTGCACGTCAAAGAAGATGTGCTATTCTTAAACGAAGGGGTCACGTTAGGCGAATGCGTACTGATAACAGAGGTTTATTTAATTGGGAATATGTTATATATCATCCTCATGTTGGTGAATTGTATTCGTTGGTCCGTATAATTTGATGTTGATTTGTTTATTATTTTAAATAGGAGTGGAAGTAACTTTTACTCGGTTATTGAGTAAACGTTCGAGATTAATGAGACGTATTTATCTACATGGAAAGAGATTTGGTCGTCCCAATTTTCATAATTCAGTATATCAAAGTATGTATATCCGATTTATGGACTATATAGATTATTTGTTACATTTTCTTGCTTATGGTTGTTTTGTATATATTTTTGTTTAAGAGGTTATTAAGTTTACATTTTCCCCTTGGTGTTATTTTTGCAACATTTATCTATGTTGCTATTGTATTAGGTATCCCTGATGTGGAATTTTTCAACATTGGCCCTCCCCTATGTACCTGTCGGCATTGTGGAGCTGTTATGTGGCGGTTGGAGAGTACGTTAGCCACGCGAAATGATATGAATCCTTCTTTTGGACAGTGTTGCAAGAATGGTAAAGTTAAACTGCCAGCCCGTAGAGATCCTCCTCCTTTTCATCTCAGTTTGCTTACTGAGGACACTGCAGTTGCCCGTCATTTTCGGCTACACATTAGAGGATATAACAACATTTTTTGCTTAGTTTCCATCGGAGGTAAAATCATTCATTTTATTAATGATGGTCGTGGAGTATATGTGTACTCTATTGGGGGCCAAATTTATCATCGTATAGGCTCTTTGCTTCCTGGTGATGGAGATAGACCCAAATTTGCTCAGTTATATATTCACGATTCTTATAATGAGGTGAATATTGGCTAGATTTTTACTCTACCGATCCTGAACGAAATCCATTATGTGAGTGTATTGTTTGAGGTTTGCAGGACATGTTTGATGCAAACAATATTGTGGTTCGGATGTTTTGTTCTGCGAGAGATAGGATTGTACATCTGGTGTGGAGGAACTTCAACTAAAGATTCTTGCGAAACGCGAGTTAAATAGTAGAGAATATGATTTACCGTCTGTTAATGAGATTGCCGCTCTTATAGTTGATGAAACCAGTGACCAAACTGTTTCTCCAGATATTATCTTTCAGCAAAATGGATCTAACATGGAGAGAATAAGCTTTTATCATCTCACCCTAATGGCATTGCAATATCCTATTTTGTTTCCATATGGTGAAGATGGGTGGCATCCAAGTATATGTTATTCTATTTCTAATGACTATATTGATGAAGGGGAGAAAATGATAAGTCAATGTGATTTTTATGCCTATCGACTTCAAACTAGAATGCATGAATCGAATTCGTTATTACTTTCTGGGAAATTGTTTCAACTGTATGCAGTAAATGCTTATGCTCTTATTGAGGCTGAAATGTTAGAATGGATGCATAGTCATCAGACAAAGTTGCGGGGACACTATTACTCAGAGTTGGTAAATTCATATGAGGGGTGATCACGATCTCAAGTTTTCTGGAAAACCGGTTATTTTGGCGGCTTCGCATACAGGTAGTCCGAGATACAAATATGAAAATTTCCAGGATGCTATGGCAATTTGCAAGTGGTTGGGGTATCCATATCTATTTATAACTTTCACTTGCAATTCTAATTGGCCCGAGATTCAGATGATGGTTGATTTGATAAGGAAATTTACTGGTAAGGATCCTAATCCTGCGGATGTTATTGCACGAGTAATCAAAATAAAGCTTGATGAGTTTATGTTTGAGGTTCGTGACAGGGAAATCTTCGGGAAGATCAATGCATGTAGGTTTTTGTATGTGTGATCCACTTTAATTTTATACAATAGCTTTGTGATTCCTTAACTAATTCGGTTTTCTTTCCTGAATTATGTTTTGAATAGATGTAAAGGCAATTGAATGGCAAAAGCGTGGCCTTCCTCATGCTCATATTTTGCTTTTTTGGACCCGGCAAATAAGTTCCATAGTCTTGCAGATATCGATTCTATAATTTGTGCTGAAATGCCCTATCCCGAGCTATATGAAGTTGTTACATCATCAATGATGCATGGACCGTGTGGTGCAGTAAAGCCTAATAATTCATGCATGAAGAATGGCCAATGCACCAAAACATTATTCGAAGCAATATAGTAGCCAGACTACTATTGAAGATAGTGGATTTGCAAAATGTCGTCGTGATAATGGGAGGGTATTCAATTGTGGAGGGATTGATTTAGATAATCGTTGGGTTGTACCTTACAACCCGTATTTGTTGCTACGTTTTGGAGCACACATTAATGTTGAGTTCTGTAACAAGACGAGGTATGTTTATTTCATTGCTTTGGATTTATTTTCTGTAGTATGTTGACTTTTTTTAACTTCATAGTTGCGTGTTCAAGACTACTTATAAATATTCTGTCCAATTCTAATTATTGTGTTTTGATATTTTGTGTTGTATAATACTTCATTTCTGTAGATGTATTCCCTTTTTGTTGATGGATTTGGAGGGACTGGCAAAACGTTTCTATGGAAAGCGATATGTGAAAAATTGAGATATGAGAATAAGATTTTCCTATGTGTTGCCTCATCTGGTATTTCCACGTTGCTAATGGTTGGGGGGGTAGGATTGCGCATTCGAGATTTCGTATACCTGTGGATGTGATAGTAAATCAACTAGTCATATTGAACAGGGTTCTGAGTTAGCTGAATTGATTCATAACACCTCCCTTATTATTTGGGATGAGGCACCTATGGCCCATAAACACACTATTGAGGCACTGGATAGAACACTTAGAGATATTTTAAGTGTGAAACATGTAGATGCCGAAATGAGGATATTTGGAGGGATGACTGTGGTTTTCGGAGGAGATTTTTGTCAAACTTTGCCTATCATCACAAAAGGTAGTCGGAATGACATTGTTAATTCTTATGTTAAAAGATCTTACCTATGGCATTCGATGAAGGTCTTAAAGTTGACACAGAACATGCGTTTATCTTCTACTAATCTTGGAGCTGGTTTACGGTCTGAGATATCTGTTTTTAGTCAATGGCTGTTGGAGATTGGTGATGGTGCAAATAGTAATGTTTTTGGAGAATCAATAATCAGTACACCTCTAGAACTATGTGTCAAGCGAGAGACCAATCCTATTGCATACATTGTTCGTGAGATATATGGTGATCTATTGTCTCGATACACCGATGGGAAATATTTGGTTGAGCGAGCTATTCTAGCGCCGCATAACAAAACTATTGCCGCTATCAATCAGTATGTCCTTGGTTTATTTCCCGGCGAAGAGGAGTCATATTTTAGTTCTGATTCTATAGATATTGATGCCAGGAATGAACATGTAATGGAGGAAGACTATACGGTTGAATTCTTAAACTCCTTGAAGA